TGCATTTTATGATTACATTGGATGAAAACATCCCTTCCGTGCATTATTTTTCCCACAAAACATTTCTGTACTCGTTTAGTTTTCTTTTATCGCTTTGTTACTTTTATTTCAAAAGAAAAGAATTTATTTAATAAGTTTTTTTTATAAAATTTATGATGTACAATTAATAATTGTTTATGAATATTACTGCTGCAGTTCCTACTCATTGAACGCAATTTTTAAGAAATAAGCGTCTCCCTTAGGCACTTCACGTTTCTCGTTTCGCTGGCTCGATTGGCCACTTAGCACGAAACTGTTTCGTTTGAGAGCCGCCGAAGTAGAAGTACAGATAAGTCTCCAGCACGTCTGCATTTCATTTTTAATCAGACCCCATTGTTCCTGAAAATTATTAGAGATTTGAATTTATTAATTGTTTTAAATTGTCCTCCTTTTGACCTCGTGCTTATCACTTTTACTCGCTCATTCAGAATGATAACACAAGTCCAAAGGTTTTATGCGACTAACGTCTTTTTAACGATCGATCAGCTCTTTATAAACATCTGTTGATCATCGTTGATTGAAGTTAGTTGTTCTGCTTATTATTATTGCTTTCATTGACCATTGGTCAGAAGGCAATTAAAACAGAATTTTTTTCTCTCTTCTTTCGTTGAACATTTTTATTAAAATTAGCTTTTTATTCATAAATTAGTTTATTCATCTAAATTGTTTTAGCATGAGTTGCAATGTTTGGTGCAATTCCACAAATCTGATGTAATTTTAGGCTCAAACGCAAAAAATACTTTTAAAATATATTTTTTATTAAACATGAAAAAACGTTTTTTTTCAATTCGGATAAATTTGTCAAAATTTCATGCTTTCTTCATATTTTCTTTATCCGAAGTTTACCTTTTTCTTCGTTAAGAGCGCTCATCATTGCTGGTTGTACTCGCTTCTCCGACTTCTTGAGTGCCAGAGAGTGTCCTTAGGTGATAGGGACACAGGTTGCCAGCATCATCCATTCTTTTAGGCAGGTCATTCTTGTCGGGAACATAACTCCAGCATCAGCGCTCCGAATTAAGCATTCAGCCGTTTTGTTGTCTTTTATTGTTTCCGTTGCCATACTTGTTCCTGACGAAGAGTGGTGCATCGATGGATTGGAACCCAAGCCTCGATCGATTCCTCGTAGCAGTTATCTTGGCACTGAACCACCGACGCGCCATTTACTATCTTATCGAATATAATTATTTCATTTATGTAACTTTGACGTCAGGTATCAGCGAATTTTTTGAACAATATGGTCATCTTCAAGGCTTTTAACAAAAAAATTCTCAGAAGAAAACTTTAGCCTAACTTAAGTGATAAAGACATCAATGAAATTCAAATCTTCTTGTTTTTGGCAAATTGTTTTGAAACCAACGAATTCTTCTCAGGAAAAACATTTGTCAAAATAATTTCAGAATTTTGCTTTTTGTCACCACAGCAGCTCAGTCTTCTCATCTAAGTCAGAAGGTTCACAAGTGGAGGGTGTGTGAAAATTAAACTTCAAAAAATGGCTATTTCTCCTTATAAAGATTTCCGTTGCTTTTCGAAAGCGAATCAAAGGGTCTGTTGTAATTATAGCAAAATTCCACCAGTTTTCCAACATTCCTGGAAACCTCTCTATACCTCTCTTCAATAACTTCACTTAATTTTTCCATTTTTCGAGCAGTTCTAGCTCTGTTTGTCCTTGAGCAGTATAACATCATTAAGGGAATGGTTTGGAACATATAAAGCACCGAAAAAAATTGTTGTTCTTCAAGGATTCAGCTCAAAATTTATCATCCAACTCTTTTGCCCTGGGTGATCTTAAAATGCTATGCCTTTCAGTCTCAAATGTTAATGTGGCTAAAATATTTTCGCTAGTTAATGAGGTGGAGGCTAAAAAACAATCAAAAATGAACACAATTCTATTCAATTGATCCACGACTTCAAATTTGGTTTATCTCAAAGAATGTCATGGATTTTATTCTATCGCAGGTAATTTTGAAGTATGATTCAAGCAAATTTCCTTGAATTTCAATTTTCTACTAAATTTTTTTAGCTTTTAATATATCTGCTAGTATTGTCCGTCTCAAATAATTTTATTTCATATTTCAAATAATTCTATGATCAAATACATTTAAAATTTATTATGTGTTATTTTTCAAAGGAGGCATAAATTTCTTTCACAGATTTGGTATTTTTAGTTTTTTGTTTGAGCTGAAATGGGCGAAACAATTTTTAGTGGTAAATCTGATTTTGAGAATCGTTTGGTAGACATTCACTCAAACTAGTAATGACCAATTTTCAATAATTTTCAAATATTTCATCTCAAAAATTTCAAAAAGCTTCCAAAAAAACATTTAAATTGAAATTATTTTTTGATATTAACCACAAAAATATTCAGTTGGTCATTTTTTATAGCGAAATCATGAAAAAAATTTTTTTTCTTTTTAATTTGCTCGAATGACCTTCATCAGATAAATCGAAATGGGAGAGTGGACAACAAATTTAGAGAGGAATTTTTTCGTTGACCTTCGGCTATTTTTATTTGACCATTTCTTGAATGATCTTTTTAAAAATTTTTTCTTTCTTTTTAAATTTTTATTACCTTCTAATATTGCTGATTAGGCAGTCTTCGCTGGCTACGAGGTTGAGGTATTTCTAGAACACTTGATCCGATGCCATATCTGCAAGGCACGATCCACTCCTTTTTTCATTTTCTAAGGCCATAGCTGGGCCGCCTAACAGTTCAGAGCCTTTACTGGCTGTATCAGTAATTCTATATCTATGCTGATCATTAACAACTTATTTTTTCTTGTTTTTCTGCCAGAAAATGCGATCTATTCAATTTTTTAATTTGGCATGACATTGGAATCGAAGCGAATCCGATATCCATTAGCGGTTTTAAATTTTTATAGTAACTTACATATCTCGAAAAAGATCAAAGTTATTCTGGAGGAGTGAATGAAGCCAGCCAAGCAAAAAATGATAAATGAGAAAAAATACATACCATAAATCACTGCAAATCACTGCGGACAATATATTCTAAAGAAAAGGCGAAAATGAAAGGGCTTCGTTCAGGTCCAAAATAATTTATGTATTTACCTTTTCATTTACAGTGATTACGATTTTCTCCAAGAAATTGATTATTTTATGATGAAAATCATTAAATTTATGTATATGTTAAGAAGATTGTTCAAAAAAATATTTATGTTTAACATATCATATCAAATGAAAAAATTGAAGTGGAAGAAAATCGTCGTTGCAGATCTTTAATTTTCAGTTTTTTTTGGCAAATTCCTTTAAATCCTTTTCTAAATTTATTGGTTATTTCTGATTTAAAATAATTTAATTTTAATTTGTAAAAGAATTTTTAAATTTTCATTTATTTTTATAATTTTAGCTATTGTTTTTGTTATTTGTCGAAAAAGTTTGTTGTAAATCAAACTTCTACTGCATTTAGAACTGCTCAATATTCGTTAGTCTAATTTTCTTTTTCATCCACTCACTTACTATGGTTTGGTTAACTTATTTGGGATGAAACTGTTTCGCCTGCCAGTCACTTAATGAATCGCAATATAGTGGAGACTCATTGTGCTGCACCATTTGCTCCATAAAGAAACCGTTTTCCATCTTTTTCTTTTCAATGGATTATCCGTATTTTTTGCTTTCATTCGGGAATACTGAAAAGAAAATTGAATAAAGAAAAAATTTTATGAATGCGAGATGTGTCGCTGGTTCGCTATTCTCGGAATAAACATAGCAAAATAAACAATATAAACAAAACTAATAAATTCGACGGGCGATCTTCATCCGATATTTTGCTAATTTTTTCTTTTTTTCTGTGTTTTACGAATGAAAATTTTTTTCCACGATGAAATCATTATGAATTTATTTTTTCAGCGAAAGGAATATAGATGTTTTTTTGCAGATTTGTGAAGAAGCTCGTTTGTGAATTTATAAATTTGAAGGCTATGATTGTCGAATAATCGGAATTCAAAAGGAAACTACCACTGTATATTTTTATAAAATTTGTAAATAAAACTATTTTATGTATTCTGATTATTAATATTCTATTATTGTTCAAACGAGAACAACAACAATTGATGGATTAGTTTAAAGTGATTGCAAAGATCTGTGTTAGTTTTTTTAAATTTTTACGAATTGATTAATGATAAAAAATTTGCAAAATTCATAAAGTTCCTAGCAGATCAGTCGAAAGTGTAAATATGCTGAAATGTAAGTTGAATTTTTTTAAAAAAACTTAAAAATAATAATAAAAATTTATGTAAGTAAGCATAATCAGTTATGTTGTAACAATTTTGAAAGATGAATTTTTTCCTAAAAAAATTCAGTTATTTAACGCAAGGAATTTGCTTAGGAAAAGGAATTGACATTTTTTGCTAAACCTTTGCAAATTTCAATATATTTTGCTGTTTTTTTCGGTAATTTTTTATAGTGACTAACCGCAATTTAGTTAATTATTGGTTGGCAATTCTGGTTTGTCTCATAGTTGAATATAGTTCAATCGTTAGTAGCACTCGGATTTTAATGGCAGATTTATTTTTGCCAATCGACGTGGCATTGAAATGATAACTCAAACAGTAACAATATACTAATCGGCCAGAGTGCTTTCTGACTTTTTTAAATATTGCTTTCTTTATCTTTAGCTGTAACTACTTATTTGCTACTTTTGATTGGTTTCTATTTGCAAAATAATTGAGATCTTTATTAAGTATTCGAAAATTACAAACGTTTTTTTAAATTTTTTTAACTTCCTTAAATTATATTTATTGAAAAATAGGTAATTTTTTTGGAAAATTTTCAGATGATATCTCTATAAATATCCCGGTGATTTATAATATTTTTATTTGCTGTTCATTTTTTGTGTGCCTGGTGACAAATATATTTTGGGTCCATTTTCTTTTATTTATGTTATTATACTAATGTTGGCAAAACGTTGAAAGAAAATTTTTTTTCTCAAATTAACATAAATATATATGAATAACAAAAATCAGCCGAAAATATCATCACAAGTCAATAATAATATAACGATTTTGGAACCTAAAAAGTTGGTTTTTTTCATTTTTTCTTTTTATCCATTATTTATTGTGGTTTATAGTCGAAAATATATTACTTGCTTATATTTTTACTAATGAAGTTTTGAAAAAATGATGAGTTGAAGATTTTTTAAGAAGACGAATACACATCATTTTTATAAAGGATTGAATATAATCTTCAGTATCTCATCTGTGAATAAGTGGTTAACACTCACCATTTCTGTTTAAGCTAATTAAGGTAAATTTCTGGTTGGGCTATTAGTATGGCTAGAAATCTTTGCCAGAGAATTACTCGATGATAGAGGTACAGTTGGGCCACTCGGACTTTTTAATAGCGGGTTTATTCCCATAAAGGTCAGGAAACTGAAAAGCTGAAGCTGATGCAAGTGGAAGAAATTCTCATCCTTAAAAGCTTATTTATTCAATTTCTACGCATATGAATATGTTTTGCTAAGCTATATTTATCTTTAAATTTCTTATGTTCTTATGACAAAAAGGAAAGAAAAAATTGTCCTTGAAGATGAACTAAAAAGGCTTATAAAAATAAGTTAAGAAGAGGTCGTAAACCTGCATCGAGCAAATCAAAAGAAAACACAGATGCAACGATTCCGACGATTGCTATTGGTGAAGATAAAAAAGAATTATTGGATGTTTTGTCGAATGATGTTGTTTCTCCTCATAACGATGAGACAACACGACCACATCCAGTTCAGTCGAAAAACACAATAACAATTCCTGGAAGAATTCTATCAAAAATTATTGGTGAGATCCAAAAATTCAGAAAAGATTGTTAGTAGATCCAAATTTTACTGAACTTCAATATTTGGTTGTCCTTTCTAAGTACAAACCTCTTATTTCCGCTTTTGCACTTTTCAGCTGCTAATTACCATATATGCAAGACACTGTTAATTGTGCTACGTTGTTCAATTTTTTTTTGAGAGTATTCACTATTACTGGTTAGATCCGCCCCTCTGGCTTGTCACAAATTTGCCAGAAGATGCTGGCGATGAAAATACAGGTGAATTGCCAGCATCACCTGGATTTCTTGGACAGATTTACAGGACATAGAACTTCAAACATCGGAGCTCCGAATTGAACAATAACCTACTGTGCCATTCTACTCTCCTTTGCTTTCTCCGTAATGCAATATTGCTACCCGACAAAGAGTGGTGCGTCGGCGGATTTGAACCCAAGCCTCGATTCTTAATGGTATTTATCTTGCAGCTGAGTCATCGACGCACCACGTTGTACAGTTAGTATAAATATTAGGCCAAGCATTTCAACGAAAAACGAATCAAACATTTCGTTAATGTAAATAAATATGTGGTTAGCTCTCTCTATTTCTGGTTAGACTAGTTCCGCTGGACGTTAGTACTGCTGGAAATTTTTGCCAAGGAGACACGTGGCGACAGAAGTAAGACAAATGAGACGCACCTGGATTTTTCACTGCTAGGTTTATTCCCACCGGGGATCGAACTTTTGCCATTCATATTATTTGTATAATTAATATAGTCAGGAAATTAAAATGATTAGAAGATGACGGCCATATTTTCAGAAACTCCAATGACGTCGTCGGATAGTGGTATCGATTCTTGTATTGAAGTTGATACAGAGGTGAAAGATGGGCGAGATGAACGTGATGAAGTTGCTGCTTCACCAAGTGATAGCAGTAGCGATGATGTTGTGGCAGCAACTCAAACTAGTACTCATCGGAATAATGATATAATTTTATGTGGACAGTGTAATTCTGAATTTCCCTTAGCAAGTTTACCAAACTTTATCGAACATAAAGTAAGTTTTTATATTCTTGCTTAAGTCGATACAATTTTAAAATTGTTCGCGGACTTTTTTCCGGCTGAGAAATGAGGAACTCGATTTCAGATTTCTCATTGTAAAGTTGGTTCATCGAGTGGTTTGTTAGACACAACTTCATCATCATCGAACCTTCATCATTCATATGCATTCCAATCATTTCGACAGCAAAAGTCGCCTTCATTATATAATCGAATTTCTGTAATTTTTCTTGAATAAATTTGGAACTCATAGAAATAATCTTTTCCTCGAATTTTTTATCGAAATGGGTTAGCTAGGCACTAACACTTGTTGAGAATAATCCAGTAATTAGAAATAAAATTCGCGAAATGCTTGTTTCCAGTTCCCAGTTGATTTTTTGGAGAAGCGAGAAACGGTTAGAGATGTTAAATAAGAAAAATCTAATCCAAGAATATAATATATGTAATATAATATAAAATATATGAATTTTTTACACACAAAAAAGTATAATGAAAATTTGCTCGCTGGAACTGAAAGCATTATCGTATTTATTAAAATTTCTTGCCTATTTAAATATTTAATTATTATTTGAAAACGGTTATTTAGCAAGATGCTTCTTCATCTCGTTGCCTTCAATCGACATCAGGAAACCAGAAAAATCTTCTATTAATGGAAAATTGTCAAATTTTTAAAATCGATGCCACTACTGATACTGCTGATTTAAGTAAGTCCTTTGTTTTCGAGAATATTCTTTCATTCATTTATTTACAAAAAGGAAGCAAAGTCTACAAAAATCTAAAATGTTTAATTATTATTTACTTATCACTTGATTAGTTTAATATTTTGATACATAATGGTCGGTTTTTTAGGTGTTTGATTGCAGTTGCTTCTTAGTTTCTTGAAAAATATTTTTTATTTTCTAATTCTTGAAGTGTTTAATAAAAAAAAGATTTAGTATTTGCTTTACAAAAATGTGGTGGTAGAAGTTGGATAAACATAAAGTATTAGCAAAAGTAAAAAATATTTTATTTTCAGCTTTTCCTTATTTTATACGATTTCCTCGGCGAATAATTTGACAAATAGATTTTTTTATAAAAAAACCATAAAAAGAGAGAATCTCAGTCAAATAATCATAGACAGCGATGGTGAGGTCTCTCAGAGACAATTTCTTAGAGTAAGGTGGAAAGAGTTCTTTGACATTTTAACTCAGCTACGATGCACCTGTCATCTGTTCAGGTGAATAACAAAAATTCCCCATATTGCACAGAAAAAGTGAAAAAAAAGATGATCATTAAGCGAATTTGTTTTTTATGAAAATACTTCATTTTTTTTGTTAGTATAACTGGTTATGGCTGAAAAAAAGAATGTTGTAACGATCCTTGAGAGTATAAGCGTTTTTTTGTTTCCTTTATCTTCTGGAAAGAGGTTTTTGTTGGGCAACGAAATTCTTTCAATCATTTTTCCTTATACCATTTTCTATTTCTTTTGCATCGAACAAATATAATTTTAATAAATTTTCAATTGCAAATCTATTTCTTCAACTTTTTTTTCTATTTCTTCTTTCTTGCTTGCTGCTTTGCTTGAAATTAAGAAGTTACGTGAACAAACAGTTCGTTAAATCATCCAATATTCATTTTTTAAAAAATATTCCTTAAATATGCACATTTTTTTGTTTCGAATAGCTAAAAAATATAAATTTTTATTTGGTCGACTAACAAATTTCATTCGATTTCTTCGTTCGTGATTGTTGCAAAGAATAATTTAATGAAAAGATTTTTTTCCTAAATTAATAAGATTTTTTTTCCATGGAACGAAGCTTCATTCGAATTTTTGTTAATGATTCGATTTTGCTGGGTCAATTTCATCTTTTCTTCGCTGTTTTACTGCGAAAAACAAGTATTAAGTACTGGCGAAAAAGGCGGAAAAAAAACACGGACGAAATTGCAAGTGAAATGAAATTGAAGGCCAATTTCAAGGTCTTTCAATTTTGAACGGAATAGGTCATTGGAATGTGATGATGATGGCCATGTAGTATTTAGCGATTTTCTATGGATATTTAGGGGAATAAAGAAAATTTTTTTGCAAAAAATATTTTATACATCTTGGAGTGATTTTCGATGAAATAAAGGTTTTTCAACGGATAATTATATTTTCTAAGAAATGATCAAACTAGATAGATAATTATAAATCGCTTCATGAAGATAAGTTTCAGCTTCGGTGAATTTTGTGTTTTTCAACTGTATTTTTAAAATGAAGCAAAAAAGCTTATATTCGTCTTTAAAAAGCAAGGATTTTTGTCGACTGAAGATAAAAAAATATTGCTGTAGACCCGATTAAGTTAATTCCAAAATATTAGGTAAAAAAGTAACGAAAAAGTTGAAAATCAGTTGAAAAAAAAAGCAGTTGAAAAGTCGTTTCGAAATTATTGAAAAATCATTTTTTCTGGAGAAAAGAACTCATTGATTCGTAAAAAATTTTTTTTGTTTGTGCCTCTTTGTGAAGCGTATTTTGACATCTTCTAGGTTAAGAAACCCAGATATCGCTAAAAGTTGACTGAGATGAATAAATTTGTCGCAATTTACTGGAAAAGTTGTTTTTCATATACGATTTTTTTCTTTTTTTCTTCAATTTAAAAAATTAAAATATGGGGCATTGATTTTCGGAAATACCCAAGAGGAAATTTTTTGAGGAAAAACAATGGAAGTACAATGAAAAAATATTTCGAAAACTTTTTAAAATTTTGAAAATATTCCTAAATTTTTCGGAAAAAGAGTTAGAGGCGATGAAAAAATAAAAGCCAACAAGAGGTTACACTAGCGAAATTGCAAAAAACAAAAAGAGACCACTGTGAGGTAAAAATGGAAAATGAGTTCGGTCCAGCAGTTTGTTCTCATCAGCATATATTGTCAAAAGGGTCGATGAACGGCCCCATGAAGGAGATAAAAGCATCCGTTGGCGGAGCCGGAGCCTGAAAAGAATGCTAGCAAGCCGACTGCTAGAAACTGCTTTTTTTTGCTCTCGCTCTTTCATAAGAAATTGTAAGAAATTAGTTATAAGAAATAGATTGATACCTACGAAGAAGGAAAAATATGTCCTACTTAGGTTGTTATGAATCAAGTTTCGGATCATGCTTCACGCAGATAAAATTATTGCAAAGAAATTTTGTTTAATGGAGAACATAAAGGATTGAGAAGATTTGTAATATTTTCTGCGGTACTTTTTTAGAGATAATTTTTGATAACTGTATTAATTTTCCAATAAGAAAAGCAATTCTGGCTTAGGACTATTGCGCATTTAATGAGAAACGATTTAGGTTCTGCATGAACTATAAGATTCCAAATAGATTTTCAGTTTCTACAGAAATTTGAACTACACGATTTGCTAAAAGTCATTCTGGGCAAGAGACAGCTCGTATATTGTTTTATATAAATTTTTTTTTTTTTAAATGAGGAAATTTGTTCGGATTAGGTTTGAAATGGTTATCATTTGTATCATCTTGAATGATTTTTTAAAATTTGATAAAAAATTTTTTAGCATTTTCGATTTTATTTGCGGATATTATTTCGTCTAATTTATAAAATAACTTTTTATAGTTTTTCGTACTTTTATTTCTTGACGATTCAAGAAAAAATTTTTACACATCACATATTTCATTTGGTAAATTTGTACCTTAGTATGAGTTTAAATAACAAAATATATGCCACATTAACTTAAGCATACATTATATGGGCAAATATATAAAACTTAACGAATATGTTATAGTCGTTTATTGGATGAAATGTTATGGTAATGCTAAATTGCAATAGAGAAACTTTGTAATTTTCCAAACTTTTTATGCTTAAATATCTGAATTATCATTAAGAACAATAAATGAATTGTGTTATTGAACACTTTGATTTGATGTAGACAATAAACCATTATTATTTCAATGACTTTCGTTGGTGACTTAAAGTTGGCAAAAGTTGGAAAAAGTTGGTAAGTGGTCAGTTGCTGATTAGAATTATGCCATTGTTCTTGGGTCAGAATTCGAAATTTAGACTTCTAAGAAAGTTTAATTAAATGAGTGGATTACAGTTTTTTATTTTTTATATAATCTGGAGCGTGCTTGTTAGTTTTCAAATATTATGTATTCATTGCATTTCATGGATTAAATCCTACGTTAAAGTATCATACTGAAAAAAATGAAAATGAGAGTCGTATGTTTAAATTTTCCTCTCTTCGTGATAATTTAGTTCGAGGGGATTTCCGAAGTAATTTTTGTTGATAAAATGGCAAAATAGAAGCATGTGAACGATTCTGGAGAAAACCCAGCTGTTTTTTTTTAGGATTGTTCATATGAACTGTTGAAAGAATATTTTACGAATAAAGATGTCAGTCAAAAATCCAAGCGGTGCTGGCGACGCAGCTATACTTCTGTCGTTAAGTGACTCCCTGTGCCGTACTAACAGCCAGAGGAGAGAGCCTAGCGAGAATGGCGAACATTAATACTAACCTTTTATTATTGTTTAAGATTGGATGATTATTTAGTTTTCAAAAAAATGGAAATCATGAAAAATTTATAAATTTCTTTTAATATTTCGTATTCACTGATGGATTATTTTCACAGTTTTATCATCAAATTGCTTTTTTCTTTTTTTTTAAAAAATTTTTAAAATGGCTTCTAAGCAGATTTATTTCGCTCGACTTAAATAGAGAGTGGGAGTAGAATGGCGCAGTGGATTTTCGCTGTCGTTTCGATGTGCAGATGCTGGGAGTTCTACTCCCGACATGAATAAACCTCTAAAAAAAGGTGGTGATAAGCCAGCACGTAACCAGAAATAGTGAGAGAAAAGGGAAATAAGAAGGTAGTCAAGATAGTTTGTCCTTTTGATTTTTCGTGCAAGCCTTTTAATAAAATTTTTTTAGGTTCAAGAAATACTGGTGATAGTGAATCTTTGACGTGTCAGTCATGTTTTGAAAGATGTTACGGATTTCGAAGTTTAATAAAGCATGTTTTTTTAGCTCATGGACTACGGATATGTTTAGTATGTTTAAATTTTTAAAATCCTTTTTTTAATGGAGGAATTTTTTTTTAAAAAATGGTTTTTTTTATTTCATTCATGTTCATATTTGAACATAGAAAGGTCATTGAAACGTTATCATTCAAAGGATAACAAATTGAAAGGATTGAAGTGCAGTACTTTTGAATCATTTTAAATTTTTTTCCATATTATTCACATGCAACTCTCTGATGATAGAATATTGAAAAGAATTTTATGATTTTAATACATGTCGTTCATTTATCGTTTTTTAAGGCTTATGCACGATCTGTTTGCACTGTTTTTGTTATCTTTTTACTGTTTCTAAGTAAATGAATTCTATTCTAAAAAAGTGGATAGCACCCATCTTTTCTGTACTTATTGTTAACACGATCCACTGAGCCACCGCATTATCATGTCTCGTCCTTTTTGAGGTGAGCACTTGTTTGCAGGAAGATTTATCGGAAGAGGTGTTGAAACAAAGTTCTTTACCACTGTCATCATCTACAAGTCAATCGATGCTTTTAACGACAAAATCTCTTGCGAACTGTGATCCAATTCATATCAACGCAATTAGCCCTTCAAAGACGAAACTGAATGGTCAGATGTTCTTCTTATTGTTTTATAATTCATATTTTCAAAAATGTTGAAAATAAGTTTTTAATTATCAATCTAACTAACAATTCAAATTTTATCGTATTTCAGGATCAATGAAAAGCTTACCTAGCTCTAGCAAAAGCGGTTTCAGCCTAAATGCATTTTGCATGGAACGACTTAAAGAAATAGCTGAGCAATCAGGTTTATTTCTGTACTGAAAAAATTTTTCTGAAAATGAGCATCTAGGATAATTAAATGTAAGTGTGTAAAATGTTGTTTGAAAAAATATTTGAATATTTATTAGGATATCTCAAGAAGCAATTTTTTTTCTTAAGGTGGTCCTGCTCTTGATGCAAATAATATTTTAAATCCTGATTCAACTGTTGTCAAAGTTGCAGAACAATTGAGAGAAACAGATCTGAAAAGGTTTGCAAGTAGTAATAAGAGTTAATCCATGAATGAAAAGATATTAAGCATTTTAGTGAAAATCTTGTGTAAAAATTTTTGCCAATTGTTCGGCTTCATTGTCATTTTCCTTAGATGATTGCGTTTTAGGTATAATGTTGAAAACACGGACGAAGAAACGTCTCCTCAAAACCCTTCTTCAGCTTTTTTGTTAGGAAATTCACCTACAGTGTCTGTATCCAATTCATTAGCTGCTGCATCACTTGCAGCTGCAGCTGCAGCATCTATACAACAACAGCAACAGCCTTTGCAGGTTTTTTTTGGAATGCTTCTGATAATGAACAAAATTAATAAGGTAAGGTAATTATGGAAACTATTTTCTATTAAATATTAGAAAGTTATATAAGAAATTTTCAGTCACATTTCCAATCTTAATAAATATTTAACTAATTTTTTTCAAAATATCATTTTTTAGTTTTATTTTAGAATTCATGGATGCAGTCAGGTATATCTACAGTACTTCCATTTCTTCAAAAATATTATGCGCAATTATCACTAAACAGTGCCACATCATTGTTTGGTGCGAATCCATCTGTCACATCAAGTTCCAAGGGAAGCGCTTTTAATGCCGTTGCAAAAACGCCGAGGTGTGTAATTTTTGATATTTATCATTTGTATAAATTGCATGTGGTTATGTGCTGTATTTCATTCTGAAAAAATAAATATTTATTACATATCGAAATTTGTATAAAATATTCACTTATATTAATGAAATCAGGATTTTTTGAATTTTGGTTTTTTCTAAGGCATTTTTTATTTGGGATTTTTTTTCAGTGCACCCGATGATCCATCATCGATTCTGCAGTTGGCTTCTTCGAATCCATTTGGAATAAACTTTGGTCAGTTGGATTCATCGCAAGATTCAACACAAAATCAAGAAACGAAATCACCGACATGGAATGTGATTGCTAATGGAGGCTGCAGTAAGCGTCGTCTTGCAACGAATATAGATTCTTCAACAAATTCGCCAAATTCTTTTTCACGTACAACGGTAGCTCCACCTTTATGTAAGGTAGCCAAGTTGGACTCGCAAAGTATCGACGAAGGGTAATTTTTTAAACATATAGTTGCGTAATTCATGTAATTTATAATAAATTCTCATAATATATTTTTAATTGGTAGCATTAGTTGATGTTAATTTTTTGCCCTTTGAATAAAGTGATAGGCATTAAATTGTTGGTTAGAGTCCTAGTTTTTAGCTGTAATTTTTACATAGAATGGCGCAATTTAAATTTGATTTGAATAAAAACCATAAAATTTAAGATTTCTGTGAAATACCAGCAATAAATTTAGTAAAATTTTGAATTATTTTTTTAAAATTTTTTGGAAAATGGGATGTTATTTTAGAAGGGGCCTACTTTCAGGAACGAGGATATCAATCCAGCTCAGGTAAATGTCGTTGATGATGATGAACTCGTTTTCGCCGAACCAGCCGCAAGGCGGGATGTAAATGCAAAAAAAGATCGGTGTACATTTTGTTCTAAGGTATTAATGTCGAATTTTGTTTTCTTCGTCTGCCCGGTATCCTGAATTCATCGTCCAGTTGAAAATAATTCGGGTGACACTGAATAATCTTATACATTAATATAATTTCGGCAAAACATCAAATTCAGTAAGGAATGGTTAAAAGCTTCGCTGAATCCAAATTAGTTTATAAAAATTGAAATATTTACTGGTTGTTAATAGAACGGGAAGGAAACATCAATGTTTGCCTAGTTTGTTTGTTTAACATTCAGTTTGTTGGTCATTATTTACAATTTTCAGCTTTAGAAAATTTTGAAAGAAAAAATTTAACTGAGAACGTTCTTTATTCCGTTCTGTACAGTATTTGCTTATGTCTGTTAGTTCAAGATCGTATTTTTTGGCGGATTTATTTGCTTTAGTAAGAAAGTGATTCTTCGTTGTTGTCTTTATATTTCTTTCTTACATTTTTCTTTCTTTCGGAGGGCCATTCTTTTGATTTTTTAAAGTTTTTTGAAGTTCCCTATTAGCAGTTTTTGATATTAGCAAAAAAACGTCTTAATTTCAACATAACATAATTTCAACATAATTTCTAAAAAACTGGCTCATCAATGGCTCATTTATGCGATCTCAAAAAACTGTTGTTGAAACCAGTAATAGACAGTAGGATAAATAATATAAATGGCTGACAAGGAAGGAAGAAATAATTGAAAATTTTGTTTTAAAGGTATTCACCAATCGGTCGAACCTTATTGTTCACCTAAGAAGTCATACTGGTGAGAAGCCTTACAAATGCCGTCTTTGTACTTATGCTTGTGCCCAAAGTAGCAAACTTACACGGCATATGCGAACTCACGGACAGCAAGGGAAAGTATGGCCTTCGTTTTTTTTTCATTTTTTGGTAAAATAGTTTTCTTTCTGTCTTGATCAGTGAAATGAAGTTTTATTCAGGATTTTTTCGTTTCACCAATATATTTTAAAAGAAAAATTTAAGATGTACTATGTTGCGAGTTTTTCGAGAATTTTCTTTTCATCTACCAATATTATAAAAGATGAATTCTAGGTCTGGTTTTAAAATTATGGCATATGAAGCGATACCAAGTTGCAAAAATAAATGAGAATTTCAACTTTTAACTATAAGCTGCAAGTGTAATTACGATTTGTTAACAGCTTTTTCAGGAAACGTTTCATTGTTATATCTGTAGGATGCCGTTTTCCGTACATTCTACTCTAGAAAAGCATATGCGGAAATGTGTTGTTAATAATAATCAGAATGCTCAGCAGTGCTCACCTGCAGAGTACGAAAGCGGTAAGTTTTATATTTGTTTTTTTGAGATTGACAATGCTTGAAACTTATACTAAAATTTCTAATTTTTGAACTTTATTTTTGGCAGTATCCAGTAAGATATAAGTAAGCAAGGAAATAGTCTTTTTACTCGAAATTTACGCACTTTATATATGCTGTGGACCATCCTAAATTTTTCAAACCATTGAGTCCAGATTGAAATATCACTATGCTTTGTAAAGCGAAAATACTATAAAGTTTTTTGTGTGCATGGTTATTTTTGATCAATTTCTTTAAGAAAACACTGCTAAAGACTCGCCATGTCTAGCAGATGCCAGTTCACTTCTCGCCCTTTCTAAGGTTTCTTTGAACAACGCACAATATCCCACAAATATTTCTCAAAGCAATCATCAGTTTGTGCTAAACTGGCTGCAAGTAATAAATATTGGATTTCTTGTTCTCTAAAGATTAATCAACATAGTAATTCTTCAGATTATTGCAAAAGTAACGTAATAGAAAATAATGGAACAGATATCATTTATTTGCTTATCCATTTGATCCATAAATTTTATACATATCGTTTCATTAGGCAATGAATATTGGTGTCAACAATGGATCGTTGCAGTTGGCAAATGGTTCAAAATCAGTTACTACAAATGGTCATTTGAATGATGAAGATGAGGATATGGATGAAAGTGAAGAATCAGAGACTCAACGGAGCGTTAAAAAGGTAGTAACATAAATTTTCCAACTTTTATTTCTTAAGCGTTTTTTTTTAATTTGATTATATACATATCCAAATATCACCAAAGAGTAAGGCAGATCTGGAAGGACCAACTCAGTGGGAAAAATGTGCTATAAACATTTATACTCTGCCAGTAATCAGATACGCAACTGGTTTATTGATGATCGAAGAAAAGCATGGATACTGCTGATGTGGATACCCAGGAAATTATCATAATGCACGGAAGTCCAACATTTAAAGATTGTATACTAGCAGAGAAAGAAGTGAGTGGAGCTTGGTGTCAGAATCACTATCCTGCAAGTAAACATTCAGAAATACACCAGCAAAGTGGCACCAAAGGATGTGCTATTGAGAGAATGCCTGAAGCAGCAACAGGCATTGGAGAAAGAACAAGCGGAGGAAGTGCAGTGCCAAAGTAAGATCTACATGGGGATATATTATCAATAGGTGAGGTGGAGAAATCCTACCAGTGGTTGGAAAAAGCTGGACTGAAAGACTACACAGAGACATTGATGGCAGCATAAGAACAGGTACTAAGCGCAAATTTATTGAAGCAAAGGCCTACCTCATCAGATAGGACACAAGGATGCAGATTGTGCAAAAACGTTCCAGAAATAGTTCAACGCATTATGTGAAATGCAAGCAGAAGCAACACTGACTGAAAGGCATAATCAAGTAGCGGACTTCATCTGCAGGAATATCATTATATGGCTTACCTTACTAAGACTAGGTGTGAGATCCCTCAAAAGCCGTAAAAAATAATAATACGAAGACGAAGATCCTGTGGGACTTTTCCATCTAGGCAGAGCAGATAATACTGTCAGAAATTGGCACTGATGATAGATATAGCAATAACAAATGACAGTAACGTTAGGAAGTAGGATTATGTAGAGTAGCTAGAGAAGTACTAGAGGTTGAATGCACTGGGGACTATAACCTCTAAATTAAAAAAGTGGCTCTAACAGATTCCAAGAATAATGTCAAAGATCTTTGTCCAGAAGAGCGCACTGAACCTGAGCAGAAGTCTCAGGTTCCAGGCCTCTGGTGGAGTTGAGAACGACCCATATCACCTTCAGGAGTGAAATATGTGTATATATATTAATATTAATGAATAAAATGTTCAGAATTGACTCGAGTTGGTTTGTATGAGGTTGTATGAGAACATCTGCGGTTTATCCATTAGGGAGAATTTAGGGAATTTGTCAGACAGTAGTAGTAGTTGAGTGATATGCTGTTTCTTAGATCAGCCAACATATGTTTGATTCTAAATTTGGTTCACTGATGGGATTAAATCTTTCATTAAAAGTGTAGTCCAGTTGGTGCTAGAAATCCATCTGTTTTTATCCGCAAGTATTTTTGTGGTCGAAAGCACTTTATCTTAATAGTTAGTGGATTAAATAAAACGGAAATTGTGTAATTGAAATTGGAATTGTACCATTAGAAGTAAAGAATCACATGTCTTAAAAGAATTTAATTTTTCTATTTTTTCAGGAAATTGATGCAATTCCTACATGATATACATGATATTGCCGTAATTAAACTCTTTATCTGCATAATTTAGATGGTGAATGAATTTCTAACATTAACAAATGAAAAATGGTAATTTTAAATTTCACATGCAGGTCGTTATTATCACCGAACTGCCATGAAATGCTAATTTTTTTTTCAAACAATCTTATTTATTTTCCATACTCATCTTTAGTTTATTGTAATCGCCTTGAAAATTGTTATATAATTCCTTTACACTTTAACACTGCTTTTTTTTCGGGTGGATTATTCTCCTATAAGGAAAAATGAAAAAACCATAATATTTTTTTATGTTCAAACTAGAACGATTTATCCGCTTATTTTTTTCTATGATGTTTTAATCTTGGTTATAATACAATATTTGTGCCGGGAATTAGGATTTTCAATTGCATTTTCCCTTAAGTCACTTTGGTTTCTTGATTTTAGTTCTTTTTTTCTCTTCTTCTTGATCCTTTGCCGATTCGTTTCAAAGGACGGCCTTATTCTATTTTTTTATTTTCTGGATTATTACGCTTAATAAGGCTAATCTGGAGTTTTTAATTTTTCTGTCGTGATATATTTTCTGCCTCATGTACATTATCTTTCCTCTCTTTTATTCTTATTATAGGAAGATTTTTGGAATTTGCAGCATCTATTATATATTTCGCATTTAGACAATAATCAGGATGAAGGAAAAATTTTTGAAAATAAATATTTAGTTTAATAAAAAAAGATATTCGAATTCGATATGCCTTAAATGTTTCAGCGTTTGCTGCAGTTCGCAAATCCATCTTCTGTCGATAATTGTTTTTCAGATTACTATATACATATGCATAAGCGTTAGTATTCATTATCAATTTTCTCATAATTACAAACAAATATTCTCTTTTTATTTGCTACAATCCATATTTATTTTTTACTTTCTTTTGGTTAATTGATCAACACGGGAAATGCTTATTTTTTAAAAATTTTGTTACTGTGTCATCCTTACTAGCGAAAGATTCCGTGTATATTCTAGTGTTTTCTAAAATATCGCTTTATATATTAATTTTGCCATATTGATGATAATTCGATTTTGATGAATTGGAGAGGAAGTACGTTAACAGTAACGAAATCATTTTTCAATGTATCCTTTCTATTTGTTTCGAGCAATTCTTCAAAGCAGTTCATTCACTCATTTTTTATTCGATAGATCCGATAGTTTATTTTTCCTTTGAATTTTTTTCAATTTTTTTGAACAGTTCCAAGCAGCTGTAAAGATTTTTTTCTTTATTTTATATTTTCATTCTGGTAAGACTACTTCGTGATGTCATAACCACTGGTAATTCAAATTTTCAAGTTTTTTTTGAATGTATTTTCTTCACTCGTGTATATTTGTGCGTGTAGTAGTATCGCTAGTTGCTTATTTCAAATACTTTGTATTAAGTTTCGAGTTCCCATAGAACTGAATTAGTTCTTTCTCTATATTCTACAACTTTAACGGATATGTATGAAATTTGTAATTTTCTTCGTCTTAATAAAATATGGTGTTATCTATTTTGAACATGCATAAAAGTTTGCTTTTATTTATCCTTCGCGTAGAAGCCAAAATATCAGTATATTGGAATTGGAGGGAGTTTTACAATTTTAATGGGCATTTAATAAAAAATTAAGCGAAGTGGTAATGTACCATTCGGATAAAATATCGATATTAATTTAGCATTTTATCGCCTCAACAATCGTAAATATCGAAACAGAACAAATCAAGATTAACTGATGTATAACTGTCAATGTTGCTATAAAAAAAGCCTTATAACCTAGTCGATTTTTCGTCAGCTATTAAATTTTCCCAAGGATGTGAAAATGCCCTTTATCTCGCCCAATGTCAGAAGGGAAAAAACAATATAACTGCTATTAAAAAAAGGTGAACATACGATGCACACCACGTATATGCTTACATCATATTTATATTCACTTTAAAAATGTCTTATGTTAATATGTTAATAAAATCACTTCAAAAAATATGAAAAAAATGAGTTTTTAAGATTTATTTCAACGTTTCCGCTTACTTGATGATGCATCATCTACATCATCACCTCCTCTCTTTTTGGTTTCTTTAGCTGACAGCAAAAGTTGACCCAGACCAAAAATGTCCTCTTCATCTTTTTCGAACTAAAAATATAAAGATAAATATTGACTACATCGTTACTATATCGAAATAAATAAGTAAAAAAGAATCAATCACTATAGGACCTGTATTCAAATAAGAAACAAAAAAAATGACCTGCACGGGTCCAGCAGATCGCCCTGCGCCAGGTTCAGCACTGATAAAACCTTTATCTGGAACAAAACGATTCGTGCTAATAATACGGTCAAGGTCATCACCATAGAGGTCTTTATCTAAGTTTTTGCCTGCAAAATACTGGGAATGGAGAAAATTGATATAATTAAATGAAAAAATAAAAATCAATTTAGAAAATTTTGAAGGTAGTGATGTATTGATTTAACTTTCAAATCAGTTCAAATCCTCTAGTGAATCATATCAATGAAAAAAACATCAAACACAGTACTGCCCAGTGATAAGTTGTAATAATTTTCTATATGACGAAAAACGACAAACTTGGTCTGTAAATATGCTGCTGGATGTTATCTTGAGCACGCCAAGGCTTATCATAAGCATTGTACGTTTCATCATCGATACCTCCACTGTTTAAGCCCTATATAAAAAATAAAATTAGACCCTTCCTTAATGACCCACTTCCAACAAAGACCAAAAACAGGGACCAATATTTTCATATATAAGGAAAAAAGTTAAACCTTAGACTGATCAAACAAACGCTGATCAAATTGAGTTTCAGTACTTTTGACACGTGTATCCGGTAGTCCAAGAGCAATCTTTTCACTTATATCACGGTCCTTACCACGACGCAATCGTTCCAGTTTGTCTGGATTATTACGAGCAATATTTCTTTCACGCCGGTGTTCATCGATCCGATCACGCCTAAGAACGCCTTTCTATACAACATGAATGAAATATGATAGTAAATCCAACAAAAAATCTGGTGATTTCAAAATTTGTAAATAATATTCATCAGTGCCAACAACCAAAAAAATTACCTAATTTGTTCTCTTTCTCGTGCTTCTTGATTCATTTCATCATTATGACTCTTCTTAACCGAAAGACGATCTTGCCTTTAAAAAAAAAACTGAAATTACAAATCAGCAAATAGGATAGCTTTACTTAAGGTAATAAGAAAGGAATCAAATCTCGAAATAATCCTTAAACCTACCTGGCTTTTTGAGCCATGAGTCTCATTTTTTCCTCCTGTTCCAACTTCTTGTTTTGTGCAACACGTCGTTCCATCTGCGCACGAGTTTCAACTGCTTCACGAGCAGTTCGATCAGCTAAATAAAGCGACTCCGCCAGCTTAGCAAAATTTTCATTGATATGCACCTGAAATATTATAGAATGCAACATAAACAGAAAAAATCTGTCGAAAATTAAGTGGTCCTTTTACTTTCACTAATAAAACATAGAAATTAAAAATAGAAACATACCTGTTGAAGACCACGACCATCAGCAGCAAGACGTTTATCTAGTGCTACCGTAAAACCTAAAAGAGTGAATATGTAAGGTGAGAATGAATTAGAGAACAAATAATAACCAGCAACCACAACAAATGAAAAAAATGAAAATATATCGAAATACTAAATATATTTAAATAGTAATTTTAATAGAATTTAAAAAAAAACCTTTGGGATTTTTCCAGTTTGAAATGCAAGGTGGAATTTTCCAGTCATTCTGTTCCTTTACTGTGGTCTGAAAATCCATTTAAGAATATCTTAAAATTTAGAATAGTAAGAAAGAAAAAAAATCCGACAAAGTAGCAATATCGAAGACTGATATTGAAATAGCCAAAAAACAAAAAAGCTGGAACCTTCCGAGTAGGTGAGTGGATTACAGGAGCAGGTGGAGATGGTGGTGCCCGAGGAATTTTTTGATTGATTCTGAAATGACATATATTAATTAAATCTTATAAAGATAACATTCTCAAGTATTTTCAACATATTTCACTTATAAATCAAATCATATAATATTTATTTGTGAAAAATTTTGGATTCTACCCAAACGAATAACCTGAGAGATTTACAAACAAAGAATATGAATTCAATTAGCACACAAGCTGATGAAATTTCAGGTAAGGTGATTGTAAAAATTCTATGCAAAAATTCACATACTTTTTGAAGACTTTACACATTAAATATCAGGCAAAATTCTACAAATTCTTCATTAAGATATAAAGATATAAAAAATAGTTCACTTGAATTTAGGTGGCTCCATCGGATCTTTTTGTTCTTCAACCATACGAATAATTCGTTGCTGGACACCACTGTTATGGCCCCCACCTTGCTGACTAGGTGTATATCGAATATATTGAACAGGTCCTTGTTTCTGTGCATGTCGGACAGGCAAAGCACTTGCAACCTGAGAAAGAAATGAACAAAACTCTAAAACTTAGGAGCAGATCAGAGAAAAACGATTATAAAAAGACAACCTTCGATGAAGTGATTTTTTCTAAAGCCAGCCTTGTTGCTTCAGTCCTCTCAGCAATTTCTTCATCACCAGGTTTGTGAAATGATTCGTCCTCTTCATCTAGAGGCTTGGATTTTGTATCAGACAAGCGACTGTATATAATCTACAAAAAAAGCAAAAATGATACAAAGAGCATATTGATAATAATAGTCATGCAAGCTTTGTCTAGCTTATTGTCTAGCTTTTTAATGAATAAAAAAAAAAACTTTGATTCGAAAACAAAAAAATATCTTTTAAATAATCTAATCTAAATTTAACAAATAAATAATCTAAATTAATAAATAATAATAAATAATCTAAATTTAAGAGTCAACCAAATTTACTTTATCTTTTGAATGACCAATACGAGCAATCGCATCGTGCCGCAGTTTTCCCTCTGTGTCGAACTGCAATGCAAGGGTTTTGCCAGCACCACTACTTCGATGTAAATCCATTCCCATTCCTAAATTAATTTAAAAATAAAATTGATGAAAAAAATGCAATTATCGATTATTTATTTATTTATGGTTATTAAAAAAGTATATAATGCTAAATTTCAAAAAACATTTATAGTACACCTCAAAATATCCATAGCATTTCAAAAAGATTATTCACTAAATTTTAATAGGATGTGGAATTATTCCGGAAATACGAGAGACCAGAAATATCACCACGCAAAAAACTGTAAAAAGAAGAAAACTGAAAAACCGACCAAGTGGAAACTGCGCAACATGTATTTCAGGGAAAGCTCCACCATCTCCAAAATCCTGAAAAAATTGACATTAAAGTAATAAGTATTAAATAATATAACAATGTGACTCAAAATTTATCTTCAAATACCTCGACTTTTCTGGGTATCCAAGCATTTCTGCTGCCATATGGAGGAGGCTCCTTGATCACTACTGAAGTTGAAACAGAAAATGCATCCTAAATGAAATGATAAAGACCAAAATTGAAATTAGTTCTTTTTAAAATAGAAAACAATTCGCTTGCATTTATGTGGCGCAATCGGATTTTTTTCTCCTTCAACCATACGAATAATTCTTTGTTGGATACCATTATTATGACTTCTACCTTGCAAGTTTGGATATCTCATTAAGAAATATTTGTTCCACTTCATATTTATTAGAAAAATCCCTTCTCTTTAATGTTATCACTATATTATTTAATAATACTAGCCTAAGATTTAGAAACTTTCGAACTTTCGCATACAACACTCGTTTTTTCAAAAAGTAAGTAAAATAAGTGGACAGTGCCCACTATTTCTGATTAAGATCATCAATCTGGTTACTACAGACCAATTAACATCACCTGCATTAGTAACAGATTACTGGAGAGACTCATTTGCAATAAATTGCACAACTATTTTGGTACCAACAAACTAATATTTCATCTGATTTGAAACTAATAACTGATTTTAGCATGATTTCCTTAAGAAAAAATAGAAACCTTATTGCTGTTAGTATATCAGTGACTGGACCATGACCAATAAATCGTGGTCGCAAAGTTGCAAAGTTTTGGACTCATCAAAAGATTTTTCACAAATCATTTCACATAATAGGTTCTTCAAGATTGCTGAATGCCGTTACCAGATTGGGCACATATGTAATGGAATTTTAAGTTTAGTATGCCTCAAGATAACTGTACGGCCTTTTCCTCGTTTTGTTGCGTTATAATGTAAAGTAATGGTACTACTGAAGTTATTTCTAATTAACATATCTACTTCTATGCTGATGACTACAAAAGAGAATTTTTTTTAAATATGCTGGAAATTTATCGTTAAATCTAAATCAAAAAAATAAGGCTAAATTAAAAATATAAAATATAAAGAATAAGAAGGAATGAGATGACCTAAATTTTGAATTTTCAGAAGACATTTAAATCTTATATCGCAGCCAAAAAATGTCTTCTCGATCCTCTCACAATAATAAGTTATGAATGAATCTTAAAATAATAAGTTATGAATGAATCTTAAAATAATTTTTGATAGATCCAAGAATGGTAACGGCCTCCAGATGTTTTGAACAATTTAGTTGTATAGTTTCAGGGTAAACATTTAAAAAACCAACCTCGCGCCCTCTAAACCAAGGATCGTTTCTGACAGTTGCCTCATTCGAAACAGCAACTGGGGGAGGTAAAAGCCTGAAAATGTGGATTTAGTACTTTACATAATAAAAGATGAAATCTGGGTCCGAAAGAGGCCACCAAAAAACAAGCAATTGTGGTCCCTATCTTCCATTACAGGTAAAGTAAATGTTTGACGTTCGCTCTTTCCAGCTAGACTATATCTTGAAATCCATTCTGTTGTTATCCCGGCTAGAAATGCCATGGAATGACTTTGAGAACTACATCGCTCACCACTTTTTAATCGCAATTTATTCCTATCAGGAAAACTTAGCTCTTGCCACACTCACGTTATCCATTGAATAAGAATCAGAAAATGTTGATATGGGAATATATCTGAATTATAATGCAGGATTCATAAACATTAAAATAAACTCAAAATGGAAAAAAATGGAGAAAATGTCGTTTAATATTTAAAGGCCTGAAAAATTTTAGCTTAATTTATAATAAAAATGAAAAACTTACTCAGCAAGTTTCATCGAAATGTTTATATTTATATTAAAATCGTTACTGAAATATTATTTACAAAAAATTTCCTGAAATAAACAAGCAAATTAAAAAATCAGGATGAGCTTAGGCACGAAGCGCTTAGGATCCCACACCATGATCACACTTAATCTCATGCTTTACAACCCCTCCACCTCCCAAAAAAACAACACATCTCACACAAGCTTCCAAATTCCCCGCTTAATGGCAAAAATAAAATATGATCGAGAATTTGTTTTCTGCTTAAGATTAAATTAAATAATTTAAAGCTAGATATTTTTTGAAATACAGCTTTATATCAACATGTCTTGAATGCGTAAAATTTGAGTTCAATTCATATATAAAATGTGCTTGGCAGGCAAAAAAAGCATATTCTTTGGGTTAATTCTTAGCTGCCATCTCTTGTACAAATTTTATAAAGTTTAATTGAATAAAAATAAGTGGAATTTTGAAATTCTGAATTTCTATGAACGCTATGAAGGAATTGGATAGAACAACATGGTTTTCTCTGAATTTTAAGTGAGTCTTTATTTTGGCCACCACAAACACCTTTCAAACAATGGATGAAACATCTTAGTCGACTGATGAGCTAGTGAGATTCCAGTGAAACCGATTTCGACGAGACATTTTAACTCGAAGCAAATTGAGCTTACTTATTCCGAATGTTGCAGGTAAAGTAAACAAACGATTTGTGATTTACTGAATATAAGCTTAAATAACAAGATTTTTTCTAAACGGTATTCACGGTATCCATTGTCGGCTAGACTCGCTGTGCTGGCATTTGGACTAGACATATATGTGAATCCTTTGGCGATAGAAATAATGGTGAATAAGGACAGATTTGCCGAGAGTAGTACCTCAGCATCTGCGCTTTAAATTGAGCAACAATCCACTGAGATATTTCTCCACACTGATTTGTTTTTCCTCGTTGGACGACACTATCGCTCTGTGAAGTAAATGCTTGACCGGAGTCGAATCCAAACCTCACTTCTCTGCAACAATTGTTTTGACACTGAGCCACCGATAACCCACAATACAACCCACAATATTAGATATAATTAATTAGCTAGTAAAAAAATCCATGCCAACAACGAGCAGAGAAATTAAGCAAATTACTGAATGTAGCTTTGGAATTTTAGTTTCCGACCTTAATTTTCATCTTATATTTTTTCATTCATCTTAACACCCTTTGCATACTTAACACTTTAAATTAAGCTTTGGTCTTAAAATGATAACATGATTACAGTACACTATTACGAAGTATCAGGAATTAAAGTAGGTTGTGAACATATATTTCAGATGGGGGCTGGGGGTGGAGCATGTAATGTCCAGTTAAAGAGGTTTAAATGTTTTTATTCAGCGGAACTTTAATTACTTTAATTCAGTTTTAAAAGGCCTTTCTTCGTCAATTCTTTTCCCGACATTTTTATATTTTTTCTCTTTTAATGATTTTTTAACTGCAGATTTTTGAACATCTATTTGGGAACGAAAAAAGAAGTAAAGTCACAGAATTCATTTTTTGTTGAAATGAATAGTGACAAACAAAATCACAAAACTCATCAAGGTTTCATGACTTATTACTTTTATTATCATCTTTTTTATTTGTTCATTTATAAATATGCTTTTTTTCAGCATTCAATTCACTTTAAATTTTAGTGCACAAAGTTGGTGGTAAAGTAAAGAAAAAAAATCGACGAATAGGAACGAAGAATGTAGATGCAAAAGCTTATACATTTCGTTCTGCGGTGAAGGCTGGTCGCGCAATTAGAAGGTTTGGTTTTTTGCTGGTTCATTCTTTTACGATACTAATTGTTTTTTTAAACATGATTTTTCAATTCGATTTCAAAATTCCATTAGTGTTTAAATTCTGTTCAGGAAAAACGGATTTTTGAGAGAAATTAGTTCAGCTGTAAATTATTTAAATGAAGAATGAAAGTTAGTAATAAAAACAATTGTGCTTTCATAATATAAAAAGTTTAATATAATGATATGCATATATATTTTGCAGGGCCGCTGACAAGGGTGAACGCAAAAAGCACATACCTTTAGTAGATAGAACTCCTGTCGAACCCCCACCGTATATTGTCGCAATTGTTGGGCCTCCCAAGGTTAGTTATTTTATTATTTATAAGTTTCTATTATTTGAAGATGTGGTAAAAGTAGTTTTAGGTTGGAAAAAGCACTTTGTTGCGATGTTTGGTGAAACATTATGTTAGAATTACGCTCACAGAAATTCGTGGCCCAATTACTATTGTTACTGGTAAAACACGGCGTGTGACGTTTACAGAAGTATGCAGTGACATCAGCTCTATGATAGATATCGCAAAAATTGCTGATCTGGTAAGATTAAAGGTTTTTAAATTATAAAATTTTTTTAACAAGGTTTTGACCTGATTTTTTCATCAAGCATCAAAAAATTTCAGTAGATATTTCACTAAATGGTCGGTATTAATCATTTCTGATTAATCTTGCTACATTGGCCGTTAGGATATATAGATTTGCCAAAAGCCATTTGTGGGTAGAAATATTGGTGGATTCCCTTCACCATGCAAATTTTCATGATAGCCTGATTTTTTTTCACCAGACAAGGCCAAAGCATCTTGCTTGAAATGGTGATCTGAAATGGAAATGGTAATGCATATCCGGTCTTGCATCATAGAAGTTATTTATAGTTTTTTGTTCCGCTAAATGAAAATGTTCCTTTTTTGTTGTAGGTTTTGTTAATGGTGGATGCGTCATATGGCTTCGAGATGGAAACATTTGAATTTTTAAACATTTGTCAAGTACATGGCATGCCTCGTATAATGGGTATTTTAAGTCATTTAGATGTAATTAAGAAGAAAGAAAAAGTGAAGCATGCGAAAAAATTGCTTAAGCATCGTTTCTGGACCGAAGTTTATCAGGTATTTATTTAAATCTTCATTTTATTCCAATTTATAATATATGTTGCATACTAGAAATTATTTCTTTATAAATATTTTATTTTAGGGTGCAAAATTATTTTATTTATCCGGTATGATCAATGAGCATTATTTGAGAAATGAGATTCACAATTTGGCTCGCTTTATCTCTGTTGCTAAACTTCGCCCACTTGCATGGAGGATTGATCATCCATATGTTTATTGTGATCGGTATGAAGATTTAACTAATCCTGAGGTATTTTCAATTTCAAGCTTATAAACTAGTAGTTGGTTTTTTTCCAGTTTAGATTTATAATTAAATATTTTGAATTTTTTTTTTATTCATATAAATCGAAATACAAACATTTTATTGTGAATCTTTTGCAATTTTCTATATATTTATTTACATTTTTGAGATTTTGCACGATAATCCACGGGCTAATCGAGTAATCTCGCTATATGGGTGGGTACGTGGGACATTTTTGAAAAGCCATTCGGCTGTTCATATTCCTGGAGTCGGAGACTTCCGAATAAAAGAGGTACTGTTTTTGCGTCGTTAGTTGCATGAAATTACAAATCGTTATAATTTCGAAATCTTAGCAGTTTTTTTCGAAAACTGATAAAATTTTCTTTAGATCAATGCACTTTCTGATCCATGTCCGTTACCATCAAAAGAAAAAGTGAAAAGAACGTTAAATGAAAGGGAAAGAATAATATATGCCCCGTTCTCTGGGCTTGGTGGAATTGTTTATGACAAAGTATTCCTATTAAGATTTGCATCAAAATTTTTGTATTTATTGTTTTAGCAACTCTGAATTAAAATTAAAAACGTAACTTTTAATTTCTGAATATTTTTTTCAAAATAAAAAACAAATTTATTCGAAAAACTGATACTTAATATTCCAAAAATGCGCTTCCGATAAACTAAAGATGTACACGTTTTCATCACATATTGAATTGAATAGTTACATTATCATTAAATATGAAATATCGATCTAAATAAGAGAAAGCAGTTGTAGGATGCAATTTACATCGATACAGGAGGATCACATACATTTCGCAAACCGCGTCATGAACTTCTTCGAGCCCTCGACAATATCAAGCAGGGAATCGATGATAAAATGGGAAAAATGGGGTTAAAACTAATTTCGGATGCCAAAAATGATCTTATTGAAACTGATGCCAGTGGGTGGTTTGAATATTTGATTTTGAACATAGTTCTAAATGTTTTGTTGTATTTGAAATTCATTTCTTTATTTCCTTTTACAGTTTTACGAGTCATGGGAATTTTTTTGGTTATCTTCGTTTTCGAAATGAATTTTTGAATTTTCGAATTATGATTTCTTATAAAGGTGAAAATCTCGAAGACAGTGAAGCAGACGATATTGAAGAAGGTGAAAACGGCTTTGGTAATGAAAATGAAACGGTAGGGCGCGGCGATATTGACGAAGACGAAAGCAGAGAGAGCTGCCTTACTGATGATAGTTGGTCAGCTTTGTCGAAAAAAGCTCAATCAATGTATGAATTAAAAAAACAGAGTCGTTTCAAATGGAGTACTGTTGTATATAATGAGACAGGTATGAAATATTCCTGTTGAAATTATTTTTTATTTTTGTTTGGCGAATTTTTTTGTGAATTTATGGAAAATTATAGAACTTAAGGTCTATGTGGTGCTGAAATATTTCTTGATCTTTCTCAATGGATTTTTTACCGTAAATCGTTTCGCCGTTTGTGTCGTCCACACTTTTTTCTCATATCCTTGAAATTTTATTCTTTTTTAGACGCAAATTCGATTGAAGAAACCGAGGACGACTCTGATGAATTGTTCGGAGGTCTTTTTAAAGTTGCCTCTTATGTTAACAGTGGGCTGACCATCAATCATCATGTAACTGTTTATTTTTTTCTTCAGCATTTGTCATTGAAGAATGAAAAGGTGCTGAGATATCATTGCCCTTCTCTGTGTGTCCTTCGTTCATTCCTTTTGGACAATTCAGTTATATAACATTTTCAGGAAGATGGATTCGCCTATAATATATCTTCATGCAACAGAAATTCACTTTTTCATTTACCAAATATAGAGTGGGATCTGGATGAGGTTTGTGATTTTTGAATATTTATTTTTTTTAGGTTATCTATTGGTTATTATTATTCATTTATTTTTGTCAATCCCAGTTTTTTTTTAAAAAATTAGGACCGGAGTTCCAGAATATATAGAATTTTCATATTTTCATTGAATTTAGAATCGTTCCTTAATATCCAGCGAATTTGTGACTGCAAAATGGGATGAAGAAGATGATGCTTTCGCACAAATAAAAGGTCTGTTGAAAATTTTCTCATTTTTCATTAATTATTTCATTAATATATTAATATATATATTCTTACAGGAAAAAGTGAAGAAGGATCTGATTATGAAAGTGAAGGTATGGAGGCTGTAAATAATGAGAAGTGTAATACCGATGATGATTCCGAGAAAAGTTATCAGATGCATGATGCGAATGATTGCGGTTCACAAGTTTTCTGTTTCATTTTCTACTTTATTCCTTTCCATTCCTTTCCTTTTTCATAAAACACCATTATTGGTTAATCTTGCTCAGCTGGCTACAAGGATTAAACGTTGCACGATCTAATGCAATCTTTGATGTAGTAGAAACCATTCCTTTTTCCATCGTCTGCGTCCATATATCACTGGCCCTTCTATGCGTTAAAAATGTTTCCTGACTCTATCAATCCAGATCTTGGTTGGGTCACCTCACTTTTGACGTCATCACGGATAGCAAACAACGAAGAACTTGCCCTAACCACCGAAGCCGATGCTCTGTGATGGTATATTCCTTTCCTATCGATATTATTGTAGCTTAAGATTTTTTTGCGATTAGCATTAGCATTAAATTATTAGCGCTATTTTTGACGAACTTCTCAGTGATACAATATCGCCAACGATAACTGTGCCTATTTAGAAAGTGGATTTAATTCCGTTATTAATTCTGGTAATGACCGAATTACAAAAATAAGGGTAACAGCTGCCGAAAATCGGCGTAAAAATGATAAAGAGAGGCTTAAAAATAAATTTAATGCTGAATATGATGAGGCAAACCGGTATTATTTGCAATTGAAAGATGAATTCGAGCAACAGGCGAAAGTTAGCTTTTATTTTACAGTATTTCGATTCTGTTTCTTCATTTTTCTTGTTGATTGCTGAAAACAACTGAAGTTTTTTTTTGTTGACCCTTTTTTAGCTTAATAAGTCAGTTTTCGATAATCTTGATGAGGATGTTCGTCAAAAATTGGAAGGTTTTCGACCGGGCACTTATGTACGTGTTGAATTTGAAAATATTCCAGTAGAATTCATCGATAATTTCGATCCTACAAAGCCTTATATTATTGGTGGACTTATAACGGCGGAACAAAATTTCGGTTCGTTGCAGGTTTGTTTAAAAGTTCAATATTTCTTTACAGTAAGTACTCTGGAAAGTAAGAGTAGTTAATTTCTGGTTGTGGTTATTGAATTCCAAGTTAATTTACACATCTTTCTTTTGTTATAACAAGGCATACCTAATGTTAATTTTATTGTAATTGTAATGGATGACCACAGTTTTTAATCGATACTTTTCGTGAATGAGATATATTGAGCCAGTAATATTTGCTCTCTCAGGTTCGTATTAAAAAGCATCGTTGGTATGAGAGAATTCTAAAATCACGTGATCCTCTCATCATTTCTTGTGGTTGGAGAAGATTTCAAACAGTCGTAAGTTGATAACCACTTTTTGATTCTCCTATTATTTTTTGAGTAAAGCGGTTCAATGCCATATCAAAAAATAAGTGGAGTCAGTTTACTCAACGCCGGGAATCTATATGTCTTGAATATTTTTGAATATATCTAAAAAAAAAGGTTTGAAATGTGAAATCTATTCGGATGCAAAATTTTTTCAAATAAATCTGAGTTTTAAGATTTGATATATTAGATATACTGATATACTGTTATACTGTTGATATACTGTTTGCAGTTTGAGCTTCAGAGTAACGGTGCAATTTTCAATTATTTTCACTTTTGTTTTCAAATAATTATCATCTTATTTTTCTGTTTTCAACAGTTTTCAGGTAATTTATTCAATGCAAGACCACAATATGCGGCAGCGTTTTCTTAAATACACACCGCAACATATGTATTGTCAAGCAGTTTTTTGGGGCCCTGTCGTTGCTCAGAACACTGGATTCTTGGCTTTACAGTCACTGACTGAAACTATGGTAATGTGTTATATTGTTGTAATGAAAATTCAAGCGAAATGATTGCATAAAATTTTTTTATTGAAGCTGTTTTCCTTTTTCTTCAGAAGGGATTTCGAATCGCTGCAACAGGTGTTGTTTTAAATCTGGATAAAGCTTTTGAGGTGGTAAAAAAATTAAAACTGATTGGATATCCATATGAAATATTCAAGAAATCCGCATTTATCAAGGTCCATATTCAATGTTTCAATGTTTGAATATTTTAATTCATTATTTTTCATTCAGCGCTGTTGCTGTCTTTTGCTTTAATATGATTAAAATTTTAATTTTAATCTTTAATGTTTACATTACAATATAATACAATATAAGTCAATATAAGTCTACATATGAAAGGTAATTTAGATTTGTTTAATCATGAATTATGTTCAAATCTTGATTATCTGTTGAAGTAATTACTTTTACTTGCTTCATTCAGGAGTATTTTAGGGTATGTTCAATTCAACACTTGAAGTAGCAAAATTCGAAGGAGCGTCAATTCGTACTGTCAGTGGTATTAGGGGTATAATTAAGAAAGCCCAAAGAGAACCACATGGTGCTTTTAGAGCAACTTTTGAAGACAAAATATTGCTAAGCGATATAGTATTTCTAAGATCTTGGGTAAGTATTTTGCTTAGAAATTATCGAATCGTTGGAATTTTTGAAATTGAAATCTTCAATATGAATTTTTATGGTTAACTTCAAAAGTATATCTTTAATTTTTAAATCTTTTTATCTCTCATATTAAATTTATGAAGATAACCTCATGAATAGTATGCAAGTTATAAAGGTGCAAAATAAGTTTTGCAGTTGCATTATTAACTATAATTTGGTTTATAAAAGAGAAATTAACCTCTATGATGCATTAAAATTCCTATTTTGATTTGAGGTAACCGTTCCAGTGCCTCGGTTTTGCGCTACAGTTACGAATCATCTTTTGCGCTCTGATACAGAGTGGGAAGGTATACGAACTGTTGGGCGTCTGCGTTTCGAAAGAGGTTTAAAAGCACCAATGAAAAATGACTCAGTGTACCAAGTAATCTGTTCGAAAACTAAAACATTTTTGAAACTGTTAACTGTTTCTCACGAAAGATCAAAAATATTTTGTTAATGAATTCAATTCGCTTGTGTTTTTATCAGTCAGTGGTTGGTTGACTTATTTACTTTCAAAATATTTCACCCTTTTTTCTAATCTGGTAAAGAATGTTCCAGGAAATTAAACGCAGGCCTTTCGAATCCGCGCCACTGGTTATTCCGAAAACACTGCAAAAAGACCTTCCGTATCGGCTTAAACCCAAATATGTCAAGAATATTAAAGTCCTTGATGACAGACTTATTAGCAAGCATACTGCTGTCATTCTTGAACCTCACGAAAGCAAGGTTTTTTATATCAATTTCAGTTTCTTTGTAATTTAAATGTTGGTTATAATCTTCTAAAGTGAATCAAGATATCGCTATTTCTTCGATTTCTTCTTGTTTTGTCGTCAAGCTTTTCTTTTTAATCCAATTTCAGTTGCACCGGTTTTTGGAGATGCTCGATGTGGTGAATGCAGATAAAGTTAAAAAGAATCGAGAGGCCATGGTCGAGCGTGTAAAAAAACATCGAAAGGTTACATATTATGCAATATACCTATGTTATTGCGTGTGTTTCTGTTGAAAGGTGTCTTAAAATTCACGCATTGTGATTTTAGAATTGTAATGATAATATTTAATAATGATCGATAATAATAATTAATAATAGTAACAATTAATAGTAATAATAATGATAATAGTAATAATGATAATAATAAATAGTAACAAATAATAACATAATAAATCTGTCGCAGGAGTTGCGAGTATAGGAAATAAAAGAGGAGGTAATGACGAATTTAAATGGCGAAATGATATAATATGTGAATTCGATAGTCGATTTGGTAATTTTAAAATGAGAACGCGATACATCTAATTAAGTCTTTCTTGAACGGACTTGGATCATCGTGGATGTCTTCTCATTTATTCTTGATGCAGCAGCAGTAGCGCTGCGAGGTTTGAGCCCACTTGAATAGTCGTTGGGGGGTTCATGGAAAGACATTCTTATTTATATCGTTTTTCATTTTATAATTATTAGATTTTCATTAGTTTTTATTCTTCGTTATTTGTTATTTATTCATTATTTATTTTTTTCCCTTTTATAATTCTTTATTTATTTTTTTATATATTCCCTGTTTTTTTTTCGTTCATTTTAAAGTTTTTCGCCAGTATCATTTAATCTTTTCAGTGAAATTTATCGTTTTTTTTTTCTTTTTCATTCTTTTGTATTTTTCATGAAATATTTAAAAACCTTTTTCTGCTATATTATCTTTGCTATATAAGGCACAACTTAAAATTTCATTCTGTTTAGGTTTTTCTCTCGAATATAATTAAAATTTGTAATATAATAATTTAATCGTTCTTTTATGGTAGAGTGTGAGTAAAAATGAAGCTGAGAAAAATTGTTGTTTCTAATTACGTCATCATAAATTTTTCCAACTTATTTAATGAACTGTAATTGCAGAAAATGGCTGTATTAGAAGAAAGTAGACTACGCGGCATTAAGGTCAATAAAAAGAAAATTTGTCGAATTTTATCAAAACGGGAGCAAATAAAGATAAGGAAATCAATTGATTCAGTGAAAATGACTCACAAACAATGAAAAGCATTATAATTTTGCAAAATTATTAAAAAAGTTGTTTCTTTTTATGGAAATAAAGTACTTTTATTCTCTCTTTTTCAAAAGTGGAAATGAAATCTAAACATTGGTTTCTTCTGAAATTTTGTTTTTTGTTTTTATTGGTTATTTTTGTATAGGTTTTGTATATACGTTATTTTTTTGGATATAAATGGTTATGAAAACATCGTCGAGAAATTCTTTGCAGAAATTTACGGTTTTTGCCATTTTTTTTCAAAATAGCCTAGGATATTTCGTGGAATAATTATTATAAGTTAGGAAATCGATACTTCATCTTTGTACTGGAAAAAAAAATTAATTAAAAAGAAAAAATGCAGATGAAAGAATTTAAATCTAAAAAAGTGCTTAGGACTTGTAATCGACGAGAATTTTTGGAGTTTTGTTTGTGGTAACAGCTAAAATGTAAATTTGAAATAAGTTTACAAAAATTGCTGTTTAAATTTAAGATAATTTAAGGGAAGTCTTTCGCGTGCCGTAAAGCTGAAAATTCAATTTTTCACCTTTCGTTATGTCAGTGAATTGAATTCGGAAGTGGTGCATCGCTTTAAGTTTTTTGTAGTGTATTCAAAAATGAGCAGAATCGATTGAAGACCAACAAAACGTGGCTGTGGTAACTAATTTTATATCGATTCTTTTTGGGACACAATTGTTTCATTTGCAGTGGTAAGTGAGGGGCTGGTAATTAAGATATATCGTTATTTAATATCATTGTTGTGATTATTTTGTGATTATTTTAAAGGTTTAATTACCCAAGTTTGAGGTACACGGCAACGATCGAGTTACGATTACGATATCTTTTTTAACTGAAAAGGATAAAGACTTTAAAATTTCAACGAAATTGATGATTTTGCTATAGTTGATTGTTTTAAAGATGACGAGGTTTCTTCAATGTTAGGTATGTATTGCTTTATTTCCGTTCATTTTTATCCAGAAATTTTGAATTTTAAAACTTAAGAATTTTTATTGTTAGTTATGAAGACCACTTTCATCAAATGGAAAAAAATCATTAAAAACTTAAATTTGATTTACTGCACATGTTTGGATTTCTGCTGAATAATTATAATCATAGCTTCGTTTATTCCAAGATTATACAGAACAATAGCTTGTAGTAATTTAATCTAAAAAGTGCCAAAAGGCTGAAAAATTGGAATAATTTTCTAGAATCTAGTGCATAATGTTCCGCCTTCTAGCATAATAAGTGATTTCTCCCACTGCCCAACAAAGCGTGCTGCGTTGGCCAGATTGGAATCCGAGCCATTCTGGATTCTCGGTGGCTTTTCTTCTTGTCATTGAGCTATTGGCGCGCCAAAGTTAATTAATAACCTAATATTAAAAAAATTTGCTTAAAATTTTTTCTTTGTTTTTATTATGATGCAGAGTTCTTTTTATTTCTAAGTTATGTTCAACTAAAAACGGATGACCTCCTTTTCACTTCCTTTCCACAGGATCATTCCTCGTAATTTATGGTTTTATGTTGGGAGTTTTCAAGATGCGACTAAGGATTCAGCTTTATTCCCGATCATTTTTCTCGGTAGTCTTTGTTTTAGCCTGTTTAGAATCTCTTAATGCATCCGTTCTTCCCAAAATCTCTAGAGAAAAGAGATAATAATTTCACACTCGTACTGTACTGGTGGAGTGTTCAGTTTTTTTATTTTCAGATTCTTAAAAAATATAATAACATCGAACGAAATGTTGGAAAGCAGAAGTGAAAACTATACAGAATTCAAAAACTTCAGTTAAATATTATCTGAAAGACGAATTCATTCTTATATAAATATAGCTATGCCATACAAGAAATGCACAGATCTTTGATTTTTTAATCATTTTGTTTATTTTTTGATTTTTTTCTATAACTTGTGCTTAATCGATTTTATCAAAATTTTTATGCTTCAGAAGGTTAGTGAAGGATACTTAAAAACTTCTTGATTTTCTTCTCACTAAACACTTTGAAATAAAAATTGTATTATAATCAGTAATCAAATATTATAATCAAATTGTATTATAATTATATTATAATCAGTTAAATTATTCCTAGAATATCTGAATCCTTCACCGTAGAATCACTTGGGAATAGAGGTACAGGTGATCGCCAGCAACCCGGATTTTTGACATGGCAGGTTTACTCTTGTCGAAAACAGCCATAACTAAATTAAAATATTATTATATTAATTATAGTATTATATAATAGCATAAGTAAGCGAAAAAAAATCAAATTTAATAAGAGAAAAGAAAAGAAAAAAAAAACTTATCGTTTGCGATGCCAAATGAGAAATCAATAATGAATATATCCAAAAAATAATAATTTCACCGCTCACTCAGTAATTTAATTAAAAGTTCCTTTAAGTTCTACGCAGAACGTCAATCGTTAACAAAATCTCTACCGAAATATGACATGGTCATAATCGAGGGAGACTGAAGTGGGCGCATTGGTCATAATGCCGATGATCTCTACATTGGCAAATATGGCATCGAAGATCGCGCTAATGGGGAACGTTTTCTTCGCTGTGCCGAAAAGCACGAACCTTTTGTTACTATTACTTACTTCTGGCATTGAAACATTTAATCATGTGGAAATCCCCGGATAATCAATACTTCAACCAGACTGATCATATCTTAGTCAGTTGTCAATGGAAAAGTTCTGTGCTAGATAGTCGTTGCTGTCGCGACGCTAAAACGGGCAATCTTGATGGATCTGACCATGTTATGATTCGAGCAAAGATCCGCATAAAATTTATAACTCGCAAAAAACAGATTCCCCCAAGATTCTTCAGTTGTCTCATACTGAAAAATTCGAGGACAGTGAACGCGTTTCAAATTGAATTACTGAAGCATCTCAATATTATAAATATCAATGGCTTTTCTGGAACGGCAAATAAATCCTGGTCTAAACTAAAGGAATGTATCCGAAAGTCAGCTATTTTCACGCTAGGCCATGCTAGTAGGAAATGCACTAGTTGAGTATCGGAAGCAACTGTCCAACTGTCTGAAAAAGCTGCCAAAGCATGAATGTCAGGTGATCCTGATTACTGAAGGCTTCGAAGATTTGCAACGAAAGCACCACGGGACAAAAATCACTATTGAAATCACTATCGGGACAGAAATCTTGAGAATGGAGACGGCGTCTCGATTAGGCGATTATAGGAAACCAATCCGCCTTCTTCATAAAGCAAATATAATTCGAGGAACGATCAGTGAGATGGTAAGGGACAGCAGTGGCGTGCCAGTCAAGATTATTAAGGACCGCCTCATAAGATGAAAAGAATTCTTTGAGGCCAAACTTAACCATGAAGCGCCATCTGTTGCCTCTGATATAACTAATACGTTCGCTGAACCATATGCTTGCAACTGCGATCCCCGATAGAAGAAGAAATAATATGTTATCCATATGCTTAAAGCCAATAAGATTTCGGGAGAAGATAGTCTTCGAGCTGAACTCTTCAAATGTTGTTTGTCGTCCTTTATATCGCACTTTCAACAAATTTTCCCTCTAGTGTGGGAAAAAGAAACCAGATGACTAAAGCAGAGCAATTCCTCTCCCAATTCTCAAAAAAGGTGACAAGACGTGCTACGACAATTTTCGAGGAATCAATCTACTAGACGTCTCAGCTAAAATTTTTACTTCCATTTTATTCAACAGACTTATAGCAGTACGGGACAACAGGATACTCCCTAATCAAGCTGAATTTAGACCGGGGCGCAGTTGTGCTGACCAGATATTCACGTTAAGAAGGATGTTGGAACATCGCCTTCGTAAGTATCCACAATCCACCGTCATGTATTTCGTCTATTTCGTCTATCAGATGCCTTCAATTCAACTGATAGAACAGCGTTTTGGAGAACGATGGAATGTATTCTAAAGATCAATCGGCTCATAAGTCATTTTATCAGCGTACATCGGCACGAGTCTGTATATATGGTGAACTGATATATTCTTTTGAAATAAGAACTGATGTTCCTCAAAGCTGCGTCCTTTCGCATAGAACATCGGACGCAGAGTCAATATAAATTAAATGAAAGGCTTTTCTTTTTATGTACAAGAAGTTGATAATGCTTCTTTTTATAAATTCATTACCGGTTGAGGAAGTGCTCGATTTTAAATACCTTGGGTCCACTCTAATACCAAATGGACAGGCAAAAAATGATATTTCAACTCGGATATCTCGGATCACGGTAGCTAGAAATGCATTCTTCCGATTGACGAAATCTTTATGGAGTCGTCGTGAAATTACCATAAAAACGAAAGTCCGTGATCTATATGGCCGCTATTCGTTGGATGTTGCTGTATGATTCTGAGACATAGCCAATGAGAGTGGAGGATATTAAGTTATCTGCCTTTGACCATCTTTGTCTAAGGTACATTTTACGGGTTCACCGAGTTGATAAAATCGCATATGATCGCATCCAGCTTCGTTCAAATACCACATGCATTAATGAAGTTATCATAGAGCGTCACCTTTGGTGGTTAGGGCACGTTTTCCGTTGTCAACCACAAGAGTTGTCGCATATTTCGTTACTTGCTAAACCATGTAATAGATGGCGTCAAAAACGAGCCAATCAAGACCTGGACTGGTACGGTCAGAAACGTTTAGATGGACCAGCAATTTATGGACTTAAACGATGGAAAAAGGAACGGCTTCTATTACTGTCGACGATGGTGTCAGGTCGCGCAGCTTGCAAATTCCTTACCCTTGTAGCCAGTGGAACCAGCCTAACCAGTAATGGTAAGCGCTGTTAGAAGAAGAATTATTTTTATGAAAATAGTTTAGCTCAAATTTGTGCAAAAAGTGTATTAAAATGGCCCGTGCATTTTTCTAATAGTAAAATCCTACTCTTAATATTCACACCCTTCTGTAGTTTTGCCAGTTGGCTAAATTCTTTATGTTGAAACGCTCAGCCACTAATTTCTCAGTTAATGTGGATGTAGGTCTTTTCTCTAGGGTTTTAGGCACTTATAAATTATTTTTTAAGTAATAGAAATAGATTAAATGTATCAGAATACAGCAGTCTGAAAGCATTACTAAATAATTTTAAACCTGGTTTTGAAAAATTGCTACAACAGACAAAGCTGTTCTCATTAATAGTTATATAGACATTGTTTTAATATATCACAATATTTTGTTTTCAGTATTTTTGTAATTTTCTTAGGAAAATATAATTCCAAACATAATACCAAACGATAAAAGACGAATAGTTTCAGCCAGACGAGCACCCAAAAATTTTCCTTAAATATTTATATATACAGTGTAATTTTTGGTATACACATTTCAAGAAATATTTTTAACAACTATCATTCTGTAATTCTGTATGATATAATATAAATTTTCTGCAATTACAATTGCTGGGAGCAGAAAATATATTTCGCTCGTAGGATAATGTAAGGAAGTGTTAAAAAGTCCCGTATTACAGTATTAGCACTTGTAAATTAGAATTGCAGACCTGAAATGTGTGAAATTTGGATAAATATGAAAGTAACAGAAAATAATTTTGATTTATGCAAATTCAAATTCTTTATCTTGATTTCTAACCATTTGTAATCGACCATTAATGCTGCATCAAATTTCGCTTTGTATTTTTTCCGCAGCTGTTGTAGCATTATATACAAAGGGTGGCAGGACGGTGCTGAGGAATATTGAATAGCCGAAATTACGGAGAATTGTCTGGCTGACATGAAAACAGTGGAAAAGATGCTAGAGAGATTTAGCAAATTTTGAAGATATATTGAAAGGTACATGACATTCAAAGACTTATAAAGACAGTTCTGCAAGTCCATAGATCCGTAAGATGTAGTAGTCCTCCATTACGTTTCTCTCAATTCTTCGTGGTGCTCTTGTTGCTGCGGCAGCAATAAAAATTGCAAGAGATTGTAAGTAGGGTGGTATCGAGGAATAAGCAAGCGACAGAATAAAGTGGAATGTCCGAGAAATACAACCAGCTTTAAAGATCTGTTTAAAAAAGTATACTTGAAAATAGTGTAGCTAATATCAAGTAGAATTTGTAATTCAATTGATCATTTCGATCCAAACGCGCAGTTATTTCTTTATTTTCGTTTTCTCCGTGTAAAAAATGGCATTTCTTGCTCATTGAGAATTCTAATTAAACTGATTCATCTTACAGGAAATTTTTTACGATATATTTTTACATATACAAGAATCAGTTCATTTCTCGAAGAATGATGAAGAATGATTTCTCGAAGAATGATGCATAATGAAGAACGTTATGACGCGTTATTACTCATTGTTACATGTACAGCAGGTTGATGGAAAATTATTTAAAGATATGTTCAGATGGCTTTATAGATAATCCGGCCTTCCATCTCTCTTCGTTGAATTTTTTTTTCGATCAACAATACTTATATAAATAATCGAACTGCTAAAGAATCCGCTAAAATTTTCGGTCTCTTATAACTTACTCCTATGCCACATATTTTTTAACGTTTTTCCATTTACACCTGGAAATATTACCTTGAATAACAGTCAGCTGCAAGGATGTCCAACCTTCAACTCACAAGTCGTAAACTTTTAACATTATTTATATATTTTCAGAACTGAGTGCGGTTTATTTTCCATCGGACCAGGCCAACTATTTCTCGAAAACAACCTATTATTTATGCCGCTTTCTTTAGTTTTAATTTCATAATAAAAAATTTGAATGGAAAAAATTTTACAGTAAAAAAGTTTTATAACACTAATTTTTTTCCACTTGTTATACCACATGTCCGGCTTAGAGAAGCCAAAAGAAATATTTTCTTCGTCTAAAATCTCAATTATAACACATTTTTCTCAAGTAGAATGCAATATACATTGCGCATACAGTGCCAAGAAAAAACAAATGCGAAATTTTATTTCAAACAACAAGCAAACAAAGCCTTAAACTTCCTAGGAAAAATTTCATTAACCTTTAAAAATTTTCTTAAATTTTTAGCAAGAACAACTCATTTTGGTATTTTATTGAATGAAAGCTAAAATTATAAAACTTTGCCTCAATTAGGAAGTTCAAAAGGACGTTTCCTATTTTAAACATTTATTTGACCTAATTCAACCCAACTGCGTCAATCACTGCGATTTAAACTTTGAATTTAACTAAATAGTACCAAAGAAAATGGACTGCACTCAAGTAAACCGCTGCAAGTGTCCCATAATTCCTTCACTGATATATCAGTTATTGAACTAGGTAGCTATCTGATAGTCCTTCCTCTATATATATCATAACCATAAAACGAAAACTGCATTATGCAATATCATTCAAAATCGGAGGCCCGATCTGCAAATTTTAACTCTGTATTTCTATATGTTTTAACTTTTCTTTTATTTGTTATTTCTAATACCCGTACATCGTTTTATGCTCGGCTTATGGAAAAAATAGAAAACAGATCAAATCATAAGCCTTTTTTATAATAAAAACAATATATTTATCAAACTTGCAGAACTAATATTGAAGTATATATATAAATTCTTCCTTGTGGGTGGTATGGGTCTCCTCCAAGCTCGTGTTGTATGACTTAATGTCCCATACTTGGATCTGTGAAACTCTGGCTCTATATAAAGTCAAAGTCAAAAAGGGTTTATCGAAAACTCAATGGAACTGTGGAAAACGGCACTTGAAATCAACTCGAAACAGCTTGCTCAAATATCGTTCAGGTCTAAGCCCTCTCAACCAGATAATACGAGAAGCGGATATGGATACAAATACAAGAGCAGGACTACCATCAACCATCTATTGACCTGCCCATCCATCTAACTCGAATCATAGCGAGGACATTGAGATATCATTCGGATTAGAGAAATGTGGCCGGACGGTAATAAAGAAAGGAAAAGTAAGAATGACCAATATGGTGGATTTGTCACCAGGACATGTAGCGCGCATAGAGATCGGCTACATGTCCCTTGGTCACAAAATCTCAGTCAGATGGTAACCACGATGAGGAGGCAAGCAAATTTGTAGCATCTAAGTATTACCAAAGGACAAGACAAGTCGTGAAGAACCAGCTCAATGGGAAGAACAAAATATGTGCTCTGCGAGTCACCAGATCTGCAGTTGGAATTGCAAGATGGACAAAGAAAGACAAGGAGACTGAAGACATGGATGTAAAGATCAGAAAACCTCTCATAACGCACGGAAATTTATACTCCAAGTCCAATACCCAAAGATTGTAACGGGAAAGAAGTCGAGTGGGCTTGGTGAGTATGAAAACAAATATCTTGAATAAAAGTCGAAGCATTCAGAAATATATGTAAGATAGCACCGAATGATCAGATAGTGAAAGAATACCTGAAGTATCAAGATATAATGAAGAAAGACCAAGGAGAGGAAGTACCATGGCAAAACAATCATCGATAAATAGTTGAAGTAGCTGATACTGTGAAAACTTATCAGTGGCTGGAGAAAGCTGGACTAAAATGGACTTCTCCATCCACACAGATAAACGGTATTGGTCAATCAACCCAATATCGTGATAGTAGATAAGAACTAAAAATAAGCACTGGTGATAGATACAGCAATACGGAATGACAGGAACCTTAGAAGAAGGACTAAAGAATCAGAAATGCGAAAAGAAATAGTAAAATGAACACTACGGACTATAACCTCTAAACTAGAAAAGTTCAACAAATCCTGGGAATAACATCAAGGATCTCTTCAGAGCGCCAGCTAGGAGCAGCTAATGCACTGAGCAAAAAGCAGAACTCTTTGATTCCAGGTCTCTATAGAGGATCTGGGATTGAAGATAACTCTTACCAGCCACAGGGAATGAGAAAGAAAAAGTGAAATCGAAGAAAAAATATTAAAAATTGAAAGAGGACACAATCAACATAATAAAGAAGTTTTGAATTTCGATTCAGAAAACCGAAAGTAAAACCGAATCAAATCAAATATAAATTTTAGTCTAAAAAAGCAAAGTCAAAAGTTGAATAAAATTACAGAATTACAAATTACAGAAGTTTAAAAAAGTGCAAATCAAATGAATAAAAAATTTTCACGCCAAGTTGACAAAGCTTGCTTTAAAACCCATGAACCCATGAATGAGGCAAATGACAGATTTCTTTTTTGAGCGATGGAATAGATTTATCTAGAGCTTTGCTATTCGGAACAAAGTCGTGAGGAGTAGAAATGATACATGAGAATGTAAGACCTAAAATTTGTTTCATTGAATAATAAGAAATAGAAAAAATTGGAAAATCGTTGGTTAAAATATATGAATTAACAAATTTTAACGCACTACACCCATTAATATAACTATTCTACTGTTTAGCCTTCATTTATTTGCTTTCCTTTTTATTGATACCGAGTTTACATATATTTTTTATTTTTTTAGTCTATATTGCTTTGCATTTATGATTACTATAAATACCTATTATTGTAACTATTCCTTCCGCCTGCCTCATTTTTTAAGCTCGTCAACCTAATTATCAAAAATTAACTGAACTATTCTATATCCTTCTCTCCATTATTATTAATATTAATAATTATAATTCTCAATCAAAGAGCAAAGATTTGCAATTAGCTCGAACTGATGTGATAAGAAAAGACCTAAAACTGCTAATCATAATCACTCGCTTGCGCCAATACGCTCCCATTTGCCTTTTTTTTACTTATAATGATAATTTACTTACAATGAAATTTGATAATGAATCAACAAAAGTTTAATCTATGATACACCAGTAATTTGAATCCTTAACCTAAAAATTGGAAATATCAAAAAGCCCATAGCTAAAGAACTCAAAAAGATTAATAATTAATCTTAAGGATTAATAATTTCGCGAAAAAATCCACAGCGCTGAGTAGAAGTGAATATCCAATACAACAAACTAAAGTAGTGCATTTCATTTAGTAGTGCAAGAATTAGGTTCATTTTATTTAAATAGATAAAACATAATAAACAAAACATTAAAAAAATAGCTTTATATAAAATATCGTTAAAAAAATACCCAAAAAATAAATCGGCTCAAGCATTCTGCCTTCGATGGTATTTATATTCCAGTGGTAAATTAAAATAATCTTTTGTGGATTTTCTAGAAAAGAAAATAAAATATATAAAAATACACCAAAATAAAAACTATTATGGAAAATGTCATAATATGACTTCTCCAATTATTCTTACATGATAAAGTAATAACAAATGGTCCAGCAACGCTAAATTTAATCGAAGACCTTGAAAAAAATGATAAAGAAATAACGCAACTAACATAAAACTAATTTTTGCATTGTGTAAACAATCAGGATCAGCCGCCGCATTCACACGTTTCAAAAATTCATCATACATATCATCAGTTCTATCTTTTGAAAAATCATTCAGTGGTTCAAACCGCGTAGAAAATAACTTATTCTATAATTAATTATCAAATAAATATGCTAAAATATGTATGGCAAACTTATAGACAGCAAACCACAAGAAACTTCAACTTCTTGCTCAGCTTCGAGTGACGCCAATACTTCATCTCCATTAAGGGCTATCCCATTGCCACAAACATAAATATGCTCAAGAATTTCCGGATCGCACGACTGTCTACCGCATTTCGAGCAAATAACGAGATTTTGCAAAAGATGCTTCCTAAAAAAAAAAAAATCACGAAGCCAGTTTTTACTAAATAATAGTACTTTTACGCAAAAACTTGAAACGAAAAGCAAGATAACGAAGATTAAAACACTTTAAAAAATTAAAAATTAAAAAAAACTTCTCAACCGTGGGCCGAATTGAAGTTTACAACTTTTGAGTGTACGATACCGTGAACCCGTTTTCTGGGATCGTTTGTGATCTTGCCTGTTGAATATTAAAAATATTCTCCCAAAAAAAAGGCAAAGGCATCTATGAAAATTTTTTACTGACCTCAGCATTCCAACTCTTTTACGACAACAATCAATGAACTTGTGATTTCCCATTGCCTGATAACAGTTAGTTTTATACGAACATTTTCCACAACAGTATTCATATTTGAAATGCTCCTTTACTAATCCTGGATCTTCACCACATTCTATACATTTTGAATGAGAACTGGGGACCCATAGTTCTTCAAACTAAAATTCATGAACAAAGTTTTGAAAAAAACTTTTCTGTAGGAAAAAAAAATTCTATAGGATGAAAGCAAAATCTTTTTAGATAGAGTTCAAAAAATTTTTTTTATCGAGTTAATCCATTTACGGTGCGATATGGTACGGCATAATAATTTTTCCGAAATATTAACGGTTTAATTTGCCTTACTGAACCTAATCAAAGTAGATAATTCAATTACAAATAAATGAATATAATTATTATTAACAGTAAAACATAGTTGAGCATCAATAGGAACTGGGCTAGCATCTGAGTTTCACTTTTAGCGCCACGTTTATTTACCTCGTTTTAACTTTTTAACTTACCCTTCTTCGCTGTTGTAAACAGAAATTTCTAGAGATCCACTTTGGATTCAATTTCAAATGATCCCTTTGATGCGCTTTCTTCTGCGATAAGGTCAAAAATTTTAAAGCACATCGTTTACATTCGAAGCGAGTTTCTAAATTTTCGCTATGAATTTATGAATGCCATAATTTGGTTTAAATTAATCTAAACAAATCCAAAATGTATGAATAAAATTAATGTGAATAAAGCTTAACATTTTTGCATGGTAAAAAAACTCTTATAAGAAATGAACGTATAAAGAAATATTAACGTTTTAGATGAGCTTTAAAATGTGACACATATCCAGGTTTTCGCACAATAGAAGACGCCTCCCCAACCACTTTGTAAGTTATTAAACAAAACGGACAAAGCAAGTCACGAGTATTGAAATGAAACTTTGTAAAATGGTCAATGAAAAGAGAACGACATGATGTTCGAAATTTACACCTTCTGCAGTGGTAAGGTGCATCATATGAACCATGAATCACAGAATGTTTGACCTGCAAATAATTTAATTCTTGTGAAATCTTAAAATACAGTATGATAGGCATAAAGAAAGGCACAGACACTTATAAAGAATAAAACTTATAAATAATATTTTTAATTAAATCCAATCCTTTTCCCACAGCTGGTATCCATTTATTAAACTCCTGCTAAACCTGTCATCCGGCCATAAGAAATCAATACTTCTCTCCTTTCTGATCGCATAACTCATTTACACTGAAACAATTTCCACTAAACGTACCTCGTTTTCTGAACAGCAACGAACCATTTCAAAATTCCCTTATATATAAATAATTATCAAAAAAAAACTAGATAACAAATACAAAAAACTTACGGACACAGTAATTTCACAAATCGGACAAACATTTTTACTATCACCATCTCGGTGAATATTATAATAATGCTTATAAAGTCGATATGGATTTGGGGAAATATGCAAACAGTGTGGACATGTACATAAATGTCTGATATCTGCTTGAAATTCACCACCGTTAGACAAGTGTTGAGCAACATGTGACCATAAGTGAAACATGAAGTTAATATTATTTGATAAAATCTTCTGACAATTACCATACGTGCACTGGAAAAAAAAGGTTAAAGGCTATTAAAATTTTTATTAAATTATATTAAAATTTTTAAAATTTTTTTATATTAAAATTTTATTACAATTTCTATTTTTAAATTTTATTAAATTTTCTATCATATTAAAATTTTTTGTACAGTTAAACTAATTTTCTATATCGATGGACATCTTCCTTCTTATAACAAGTACTAACAATCTCTATTTTTTAAGGAGATTAAACTGCAAGTGAATTTAACCGATATACCAAATGATACAGTATGATAGGCATAAAGAAAGGTACACACACTTATAAAGAATAAATATTTTTGAACTTATAAATAATAAATATTTTTAATTAAATTCAATCCTTTTCCTACAGCTGGTATCCATTTATTTAACTCCTGCTAAACCTGTCATCCGGACGTACCTCGTTTTCTGAACAGCAATGAACACCTTGTCAATTACATTTAGGGACATTCCGACATTACTTAAAGATATGATTAAAATGCCCCTCTATATAGAAAGGAAATGACACAAGAACCACAGTGCTCGCATTGCTATGTATAGAAATGATTTCGATTTAGTGGAAATGATCTAATTTTATTTCAAATTCCATTTTAATGCTCTTATTTCAGAAATTTCTAGAATTTCAATTTTTGGAACTACATGTAAATGAATTAAGTATCGACTTCTGAACCATGTCGATCCCTCTACGTAAAAAACCTTAAGAAGAGTTTCTTTCAACAAGCCAAGTATTAAAGCAAATGTTGTTGCCCACTTTCCGGAACGTTTGTCAAGTATCAAAAAAGTCTGCAAAATTATTTTGCCACACGATTGAATAAGTTTTGCAGTAATCTCATACATACAGTTATTCCCTTCTAGAACCGCTTCAATCGCAAAGTACTACTTTACGTTTACCATTTAGTAATAGACTTTTACCTCCTCCATGAATTGTTCCATCTCAACACCCCTTGAAATTTTACTGTGTCGTCTTATGTTCTAATAATTCTATGCGTCTATTTGCTTTACTCCTTCTTGCAACTCATTAGTAATTCATGATCATAATCTTCTTTATATCATCCTAACCTCAGAACCCGTTCCAACCAACCACTCCATCCTATTAAACAGCACTGAGTTTTTGAAATCTTTTTATTATCTAATATTAATACTTTATACTAATAATATTATATTAATACTAATATTAATACTTTCACATATTTTCTTATAATACGTTGATACTGTTAGGCTTTTATATTACGTAAAATTAGCGACGTAAAGTGGTGTATTGTGGCAAAATTCTTATGTTAGAGACTAGTACTCGTTAAAAGGATGTCGTATTGCTCACGTTAAAGTAGTATCACGGCATTGGGGGCATAAGTATGGCAATCGAAGGGCATTCTGAAAGAATTACACGGTTTCAAAGTGCTATTAAAGGAATGTAACAGGTATCAAGAGGTATGATGATTTATTTTATTAAAGTTTTTATCTTAAAAAAAACTTGTTTTCTCTAAATTCCGCTGAACTTTGTTAAAATTTTTTTCTAATACCTCATTTATTACCGTCCAATACTTTCTGGCTAATCGTCTTAAAAGCCGTCTCTACTGCCAAAGCTCCATTTTGTACTAACTCCTGTTCCTTAGACCCAGCATAAATTTTTCAATCTATCAAACAACCCCTTCATAATTCTCTAGTAAGTTTCTCCGAGAATCTTTGACAATTTCCTAATATCCCCAAAGCCCATATAAAACATTATCTTGTTTCTTCATTTCCTTAAACAATATTAAAGACCCTTGATAAGCGTTTCTGAACCTGCTGTTGCACACCACTTCACAAAATTCTTTTACTAATCTTTAAAATTCTATTGCAACTCTATTCTCTATTCTTAGCTCTAAAACTCTATTCTTTGGTAAAAAATATCTCTTTATGCTATGCTAATTTCTTTAGGCCCCACAGTGGTGCCATAACACATTGACAAACTCAGCTGTGTTCCTCTGTTGCAATTGTATTCCCTAATGCTCCCTAAACAAAATTTCAGCCAGCGTATTCAAACTTCTTGATGCCCTTCAAAACCCATCAGTTGAAGAAATTCTGCAAATTCCATAAAATATTCCTTAAGACTTCATAGCCTAAACTTCTTTATCATAATCCATTTGCAATATCATCCTTTTTGCCACTCTAATGTCCTAAATTCTATGGGCTGTACATAGTATTAGTGGGTTGCATCCATCGAAAGAATATGACGAGGTATTAGGAAGCCAAAAAGGAGCCAATACATGGTAATGGAATTTAACTAAGCGTTTGTGTCGTGTTTTATTTAGAAATATTATGGATCAATCTAAAACTTCTGAATTACAAACATTATTCAACTCAGTATCTCAGTTAGTGGTTCGCGATTGCAACTTTTGGCATCAAATGTATTCAATAACCAATGTTCTAGATGTTGGGTGTCACCGAGATAGACAACCGAAAAACAGGATTTCAATCCTTGTCCAAGACTAATCCAGTGACCATCTTTCAAACCACAATTGTTGCATGAAGTAAATAACAATAATTTTCAAATGTCGCCTAATCGGGTTACTATTTCCATATTCGTCACCTTGCAGTGCAGGCTTTGATTTCATCAGTGATTAACCATCTCAGTGCTAGCTGCTGATAGATAGCGCCTTCTGATAAGCCCTCTCTCGCAGTTGGACCGCCGCAGTTTCTGATACCCACATTATCTTCTTGCAGACGGTGTATCTTAGCAGGCGATTTTAGATGATAGCTATAGGCGAGACCAAGATTTCAACTAGCATCAGCACCAATCGGCTTAACATATAGTCCTTGAAATGGACCAATGGACCAACTTAAAATATGCTCATTACCCCTCAGTCTTTGAGATAATGAAATGATTTTCGACTGCCTGACCAGAGTGGGTTGCCAGTGTTCGATATGATCAACTATTTAAAACTCATCCAATGATGACTGAACAAAATATAGTCAATTTGGTTTGAACATTGATTGTCTGGAGAGTTTCATATGATTAGACGACTTCTCTGATGTCGGAAGCATACACTGGTAATGAAATTGCATCTCGGCAAAATGAAGAAGACTTCCTTCACTAACATATGGGTCCTAAAACTTGCTTGTCACAGAAACTAGGGAGAAATCCTATTTCCTATTCACGCATTCTAATCTCCGAAAGCCACGGTTGCCTTCAATTATTAACATGAGAGCAATGAATTGCGCTCCAGATCAGCGCAAATCAATAACTATCCCTAAAGGCTTAACCTAATTTACCTTAAATAACATCATGTGAAATACTTAAAAAATGAATAAAATAAACCTTGAATTTTGCTCTGAACTCTACTGCTGCAAATTTTGGTGCTTTCCGATCACAACTTTCGACGCAAATCTGACTAAATGACTTCGATTTCTTGATACCTTTTGATTTTGATTTTCCCCCTTTCAGTTCAGTTTTTGTGATAATTGGTCGATTTTCATTGCCAGCATTGTCAAAACTGTTTACAAATTGTGATCTCTGCTGTAAGGGGCGACGATGCTGAATATGCGTTTCTGCATTCTCCTTATTTTCATTGGTCGTTACTTTACTTATCAAATTTGTTTTCTAAAAATATTATAAATTAAGCGAATAAAATATTTCCATTTCCTAAATTCAACAAAAAGGAAATAGGTAACATGTCGAGAATAAAATTAAATCATTGAAAAAATTAAGAAATTAATTTATTTTTTGGGAAATTTATTATTCATTTAAAAGAAATAGTAATTAGAAAGAAAAAAATGAAAAACTAACATTGGGTACGGTCAGACATGGATTTCCAATGGAATGCAGTGATAATGTCTGCTGTTGCTGATTTTGATTTCTTTCATTTTGTACAATTTCACAATTTTTCTTTGTTTCGAACGAAAATTTAAATGGATCTGCTTGAAGCGCGAAATTTTTCTCAACTAGATCGTGTTTCCATGATGCAAATTTTTTTAAAAGAAACCTTAGATCAATTGGACGTTCATTGATAATTGACGCTGTGACTCCAAACGTCGCCGGCTCATTTGTTGTTGTTCCTGCATTTATCATAGTTACTGCTTTTGCATTTGCTACTGTTGCTATTGCCGCTGTTGTTGCTTGTGTTGTCGTTGGCGCTGGAGCCGTTCCTCTTGGATCACTACTTCCAGTAATGTTATCATCGTCATCGTCATCACTTAGCACCACAATCTCCATATCAACATTTTTATTCATACTGAAACCGATTCTTTTATGAAAATTGTGGAATGGCTGAATATCAAAGTTTTATTTAAAAAAAAATCAGGGATTTATTTGGTAACTGATCATTTGTCAACGGTTAGAATTTTTAACGAACCATAAATTTACGTTTCTAATATATATAAATTTTAATATAATTAATATAATATATTTTAAAATTCTAATATAAATTTTGGCTCAATTTTTTATTCTAAATTCGCAAATTTTTCTCTGACTAGAATAAACGATTTAAATAATAATCTTTTATTATTTGCACAATGATCTATTATCTGAATTATTTTCCATTTATGTATATTTTTTCGAAAAAAAGTCCCTATTTTTCGGAAAACTGTCAGAAGAAATCGTAATGATTTTCATCGGACTAAAAGGAATCAATACATCGACTACTAGAATCCACAGTGAAAACAGACGACATCCATGATAGATAAAACGCAATAGGGAAAACTATGCATTAAACGAATAATTTCGAAAAAAATTTTAAAAAATGAACTCGTTTTTATAAAGATTAAAGAGAAGGGATAGAATGGTTAAATGCGTTGTTGTTTAGTTCGGAGAGGAGCTGATCCTGAGGTTCTCTTCTCCGCAGGAGTAAACTTGTCCAAAAATCCGGGTGGTGATGGTGACTCACCTGTATTTCTATCGCTTCTCTCTCCATGGCATATTTGTCCAGTGCGACAAGCCAGCGGAGCGAATTTAACCAGTAATGGTGAGGACTCTTTAAAAAAAAAAGAACAAAAAATAAAGAGAACACAGCAAAGCCTTAAAATTATTTCTTATATACAAAACTCACACTTCCTCCTTGAATAAGAATTTTTTTAGCCTACATGTACAAATAAAAATTAAACAATTTTTCGCCCTTTTCATTTTCTTATGAATTTATGAATTTTTTCATAAACCAGAAATTCCCAACCTTTCTTTTACATCGATCCTATAAAAAAATAAATTCTTTTCAATCGACCTATTTAGAATTTTTATGTTAAAAAAATACACCAAGCATATGGCTTGTCCACAGATGCACTCCGATTGATCTCCATGGGAATCCTTCAGGAATTCCGAAAGCAATCGGGCCGTTTATAACAAATTCAGTTATAAATAATAATCGAAGCAAAATAAAAAATGAGAAAAGGAATATAAAGAATAAAAAAACCAAAAAGCATTCAATACAATCATTTGCAAATATTTAACAAACACTATGATCTAGTACCACTGAGAAACGAATGATGGAATGGTTACTTATTATCATTCGACATATAATACAATAAGAGATAAAAGACGAATAGAGTTGACGAGGAAATAGTAGGATGGGCGATGACAACTAAAAGGTGAAAGAAGATAGTGCGCTTAATCTTTTATTGGCTGAGGTCAAATAACGTGAATTTCGTTTGTAACCAGTGAATAAACCTTTCGCCAAAGACTCGAGCTAGATCTGACTCTAACAGAATTGTCATCTATCCACCCCACCCCCCACCCCACCCTTGGGCCCAAATAAGTTAGAGGAAGAAATTACAAGTGGCAAAAAGTGGATACGGAAATAGCGCGAGGAAGAGAAAAAGAAAGACGTAGAGCAGCAACAGAGTGAAATGTCAACGACACAAAATCAGACTATAAAAGAGTGCAGAGAAACCAGCGATACGAATAAATTTAGCGACAAAATAGTGCAACAATGACAGAGAATGTAGAGATGGGAGAGGCTAAGAGTCATAGCATGATGAATCACCTGCGATGAATTAGTGTGGTCATGGAAGAGAGTTGAGAATCGGAAGCAAAATACAAAAGTGATCGATAATCAATATAATGAGAGAAGAAGAGACGTAAATCAGTGCCAATGAAATAGTACGGCGAAAGAATAATACACAGTGATGAAAGAAAACAAAAAATGGTGAAACGGTCCATTACTTTGTTAGAGATCTTTCTGCCAACAGCTCGTAATGTTAGTGGTTAGATTGAATACAAGGATAAGGCGTTTCCGGTCCTTCCATGATGGTTAAACCTACAACTGAAAGCAAAATCCTGTTGTCGATAACCTAAACACCTGTATCTCTACCATCAAATTGACTTGCTAAACGAGAAGTACTAAATACTAGAAGATAATCGAACAAACAGTTTGTCGCTTAGAAAAGAGCACAAAGAACTGTAGTAACTGTAGTTTATCGAATAACTAACAAGCAAATCTTTTTCCAACAGCTTTTACCATTAATGGTTAAGCTACCTCCGCTGGCTAAAAGGTTAGAGAATTTCAGACTGTTTGGGCTGATGTTATCTCTTCCTTTTTCCATCGTTTTAAGTCCACTGGTCCAACAACACGTACAAGATCTTTCCTAAGTGTATCAATCCAGACCTTGACTGGTCCCTTTTGACGCTATTCATAGAGTTTACGCAGTAGCCGAATACATCAACTCCTGTAGTGAACGACGAATGTATCTTAGGCATGATTGGTCAAAGGCAGAAAACTTAATATCCTCCACTCTCACTAGTAAAGTCTCGCAGTCACATAGCAAGAACGAGCGAATTGCAGCGATATAGACGCGGATTTTCGTCTTCATGGTAATTTTGCAACGGTTCCATAGAGGTTTCATCAACCGAAAAAACAGTTGTCGTTATCGAGGTTACAATTTCATCCTTTGCCTGGCCATTTAGGATTCTTCTTTTAACAACTCTCACCATTACTGGTTAGGCTAGCTCCAGCAGCTAGAAGGATAAAACGCGTCCAAGAGGCACGGTCTGATGCCATCGTCGACGGTAACAGAAGCCATTCTTTTTTCCGTCGTCTAAGTCCATATATTGCAGGTCCACCTATACGTTCAAAATCTTTTTTGATCGTATCAATCCAGGTTTTGACTGGCTTTCCTCGTTTTTGACACCAACCATCACAGGATTTAGCAAGTAGCGAAATATGCATCAACTCCTATGGTGGACGAAGAACATAATCAATGCCTTGTCATGGTACTGTTAATGCAAGTAGTATTTGAATGAAGGTGGATGCAGTCATGTGCGATTTTATCAACTCGGCGAACCCGTAAAATGTACCTTAGACAAAGGTGTCCAAAGGCAGATAACCTAATATTCTCCACTCTCATTGGCCATATCTCACGATCGAATGAATCGCAGCTATACAGATGTGCGAACTTTCGTTTTTATGGTGATTTCATGACGGCTCCATATAGGTTCGTCAACCGGAAGAACTCATTTCTAGCTGCCGTGATTTGGGCTATAATATCTTCTTTTGCCTGGCCATTTGGTATTAGAGTTACCCAAGGTATTTAAAATCGTGCACTTCCTCAACCTGCAATGAATTGATAAAAATAGTTATTTTATCGGCACCTTGTATATAAAACGAAAACACTTTCGTTTTATTTACATTGACTCTGAGTCCGATTTTTGCTGATATATTATTTAGCATTACTTGCATTTTGTCATAACTGCCAGCAAAAAAGACTATATCAACAGCATATTCAATCTCTGATACGATACTCTGGACTGATTTGGACACCTCTTGAGTGCCGACAAGCAGTGTCCATTACTCAGTTTACTGCATTGTTGAAAATTCTAGAGGAAAGGACATAACCTTTACGGACACCAGTTCTTATTTCTTATTTCGAAGAAGTCTGTCTCATTTGGTATTAGAGTGGACCCAAGGTATTTAAAATCGGGCATCTCAACCTTCCTCAACCTGCAATGAATTGGTAAAAATAGGTATTTGATTAGCATTTTGTATATAAGACGAAAACACTTTCGTTTTATACAGACTTATATATATATATATATATAGACTTGTGCCGATGTACGCTGATAAAATGTGTGCTTTTATGAGTCGATTGATTTTCTATGGAACACCGTCACATTCCACCATCCTCCAAAGCGTTCCTCTATCAACTGAATCGAAGGCAGCAGCAAAATGAAACGTAACGGTGGATTGTAGATATTTTAAGCGGTTGAAGCGGTGTTACAACACCTTTCTTAACGTGAATCTCGTCTGCACCACAGCATTCCGGTCTGAATCCAGCTTGGTTAGGTTACATCTTGCTGTTTTCTTGGACATGCCGAGTGGGCTGATTCCTCGGCAATTTTCGCAGTATGTCCTGTCATCTTTCTCGGAAATTGGTTGCAGAATTATCAGAATTTTGCTCCAGTCACCTGGTAATATTTTTTTCTTCTATACCATAGAGTATATTTGTTCAATGTGCGTTATGAAGGACGATGGATTTTTGAAGAGTTCAGCCCGAAAACCACCTTCTCCGGGAGTTTTATTGGCCTCAAGCTTCTAAATGACTATTTTTATTACTCCCTGTTCTACTGGCTGTTCTTGGTTGCAAACACACGGCTCGACGAGCGATTCAGCTATGTCTGGGACAACGGATTGCTCACCGTTTAAGTTTGTCCTCAAAGAGAAAATCTCATTCGGATAACCCAAAAGTCATAAAAATCATGATTTCAAGGAGTTCGCCTTATTTACAATAAAGAATTCCAGAAACAAAAAAATTTAATTAGAAAATTTAATCAAACACAACGGGAAAAGACTCAGCCACAGTACACTGGTTCCATCTTCTCTTTATACAAAACGCAAATGATCCGCGAATCTGACGATATGCATTTCGCGACAATCAATAAATAGCAGTTAATATAAGTCAATAAATAACGATCGATAAATCGATAATATGAATTATTTGATATAACTTTTATGAAGGATTTATTCGATAAGTAATAATTTCTGAAGAAAACGAGAATAGAGAAGGGAAAGATCTGAAATGCGATGCAACAGATTTTCGTGGAATCGGTGAGTACGAAAATTATTGAATTATGCGAGCGTGAAAGCAAACGAATTCGTCACACGCGTTCGTTTGCACGCTGCTTAACCATGTGAAACATTTTAGTTAGTCTGGTAGAAATGGTACTTACGGCTTCCTCAACAATAGTTTAATAACGTCTGTGAAACGGTCAGTGCTTATATGATCCTTCTTTTTCTTGCATTTCGTCTT